TAATAACTTGTAAAATACTACTGATCACAGGATTATAATTTCAAATAATAGCATTGTCGTTTCACAGATTGATTGAACATTGGGCTCACATTATCATTGGTAATAACAAAGTTGTTGATTATGTATTTATCAAAATAGTTCTTCGTCTTGAGCTGTCCAGAGGTGAAGCAGTTCAGATGAGCAGAGTGCATGAAAGACTTAGCCACTATCTCATGTAGATTAGGCTGTCAGAAACTTTATGTCTCTGCTCGAGCAGACGCAGCAGATCATGACCTTCAGGTCAAAAACAGAACATTCATGACGCTACATTGATGTTAAATGAAGCTTATTTTCATATTCAGGTCACTTCTTTAAACACCACTTAAAACAAACAGAGGTAGATAATGATGCAGACGAGATAAAAACGGGTATTTTATCAAATTCAAAGAATTGTGAAAGTTCCGGAAAGCGGATGTAGCGGATGTACGGGCAGTGTCTTTCCTGTTCTTCACAAACAGGATAGGAGCCTCAGCAGGAACTGAGCAGGTGTTGAAATATTAGTGTTGTTATTGTGAACTCCTAACTTGACCTTTATGATTTCCCATTGTGAGCTAAACTGTAACCTTAAACAGGATAGTTGAGGAAAAGGCTTTTTTGAAAACTTAGTATTTTTATTCAAAGGAAATCTGACAGCAATGACAGAGGTGGACCAGAATGGGTGGAACTAGTTTTCAAATGGAAAATCTGAGTCAGAAGAATGAATCAGTGAATGGAAACAGAGGAAACCCAGTCGTTCACCAGTTTCCCTTGGTTGTAATGTTTTTATTTATTTTTTCACAAATTGTTATTTGACCCTGTTTTGTTGCAGTTTGTTATGAAAGATGAATGAACACAGAGAAGAGGAACAAAAATGTGTGAACAGTGAAAAATGAAAACAGTGAAACAACAGAATTCCAGCTGGATCATTTGAGCAGAGCAGAGTTCAGGAAAAAATTGGATATCTTTGTTCTTTGCTTCTCATTTTGGTTTCAATCTTTCTTCTGTTTAGGATATTTTGTTATTGAGTTATTTTTCCTTTGAATTTATTCTGACTTCTGTTCATTTCCTTGCCATCTGCCTATTTTTTTCAGCTATCTCTGGTTGTTTTGCTGCCTGAGACCTCCACTGTGGAATGAACTTCCTCATTTTTGAATTTTTTTATTTTTATTTTTTTAATAAACTACTTTCCTTTTTAGACTTAATTTTCCTGAAGAGCCTTTGAAAGCAGCTTTTTTTCTTCCATTTAAATGTTGATATTGAGAACATCTGGTAACGTTTCCTTGTACAGTCCCTTAATTACTGAGTACTTACATGGTAATTATATAGCCAGTTAAAGTGTATTATTGTGCAATTAAAATGTATAATTGTAAAAAAAACACGTAATTATTGTGTGAAGCAGTATTTACTGGGAATGATTAATAAAAACAAAACCTAGAATTGAGCCTGAGTTACATGGTAATAACTGTTTAAGAATTCAGAAACAACAATACATTTTAACTTACTATGTAATTACCATGTAAGTACTTAGTAATTAGGGGACTGTAAAAGAAAGCGTTACCATACTTTTTTATGTGCTTATTGTGTAATTTTAAAATTCCTACTGACTTTTTTGATGCATATAAGCTGTTCTTATTAGAAAACACAAAGTACACCACCGTTTTACAATTTTCTAAACACTATTAATTAATCTCTGGGATGAATTATGTATACGCTCTACCCAATCAGTCATCTAACGCCAACAAGCCCTAGCTGCAATAGGTGATAAAATTCACACATTTAATCATAGAAACAACCTTGGAGCTCCTGGCACAGCATTACACCACACCCTTCTGGTTAGTATTCTGAGATATTTTCATTCAATGAATCATTGCTCGCCTCACTGTCTGACTCAAAAACACAACTTGACCAATACTTTTACCTGTAAAAGTACAGAGTGACAAATGTGTGTTTGGATTACTCAAAGGATGGATCGCTATTTCTGGGTCAGGGCAAAGGCATGGTCAAGCATGTCCAAACTGCGGCCTGGGGGCTGTTTGTAGCCTTCAGAGTGAATTTGTGTGTTCCTTCAAAATTTTCATTTCTCGAAATATAAATTTTGTGTCTCCAGCAGGATGTTGATGTACGATAATATTTTCATGCTGAGATTTTTATTTGTATGCCTAATCTAGACATCATTTGAGGAGTACAGATTTTGTAAAAGCCCCATATTTTTTTTCCTTTTCAAATAAAAACAAAATGACGTTTTATTGTCCCACTAGGATCATTAACTAAATTTTGGTCATGATGTGGATTCTGATGATGCAGATGACAAACTGGTCTGTGGTGTAGAAGTGAGATGTAAGCTGGAAACTTTCCATCCATCACCTGTGGTAATGAGATTAGGGAACGATCAAAGGAACAAGATAAAAAACACAAAAGGCTGAAATAATTTCCACAGCGTGGCTGGGTTAGGCCTCAGAGAAAGGGCAAGGAGCTCCTCCACATCAAACAAGTGCTAGGTGAGGTGTTTTGGAACCTGGTCAGGAGGCCTCCTGTGTGCCTTCCAGGGAAGATATTTTGGGCATTTCCTGCTGGCCATAGGAAAACTCAGGACACGCTAGAAGGATTATGTCTCTAGGTAGGTTGGGAGCACCTTGAGGTCCCACTGCGGAGACAATGAAGGTGGCTGAGGAGGATCTGCAGCCTTCCAGGGGTTGAGTACAATACTTTCCTGATATTTGCACAACGGTGGTGGAAATCGGTATAAGACACATTTATTGTTAATAGTTACATTACCTCTTTAAACCTCGTTGGCCTCTCCAGGGACCGTCATAAACCACTCTTTTACCTGAAGATATAAATGTAATTTGTCAAAATAAAATTGATCCACTTTGTATTGATTTGCAGTGATGAGATGAAAGCTATTGGAACTATAACAGATGACCACTCAAGAGTAATGAATCGTATAAGGTGAAATATTAAAGCCCATGCAGCTGCCTTTGTTTGAAGCTACTAGGAGGATTTTTAATGCTACTCACGACTAAAGAGTCACCAAAGGTTACGGGATCAGATCTTTGCTTTTATTATTACCACTCTGTGGGTTTCAGCTGAAGATCTGTCAGACAAAGCAACAGTGTGGCCTAATGCTACAAAACACACTCTACTGTAACAAAGAACCTCGTTTCAGTTTTACTGTAAATGTCTGCTGTCTACATGTGAAGCAACAGTCAACACTGTTGAGTCGCTGCACAGCTGCTGTTAAAACTTGCCCAGGTGAAATCCAGCCTCAAATCTTTATCTATATGTTAAAAAAACATGAATTTGATTTGTCACGTTTCTGGGATTAGTCCTGCTTTTCCGTCGCGATCCATCCATCAACCTCCCTTATTTCCTCCCACATTCCTCTTATTTTTCCCACTTCCTCCTCCACCCAAAAGCATCCCAGAAACTTGTGAATTATGGTTTTCATAAATTTATAGCATTGGGATCATAATCTGCATATGCAGCTCGTGTTAAGATCCCAGATGTGACTGTGGCCAAAACAGAGGCCGACTTGATTTGTTATTCATCTGTCTACCCTGATCTGGTTCTTTATGACATTTTCCCCTCGACATAATTACTTTTTTTAAGTCTCTTGGTTCCGATTTAAGAGCCACATGTGAAAACGACCCGCAAAATTATTTAAACTTAGGCTAAATGGTTCCAAATAAATGCATGAAGTGTATTTTTCTAAATATCAACATGCTTTTGCACAGAATAAAATCAAATAGGTCAGGAGTCCCCCCCCCCCCCCCCCCCAACAATTTCAATCTGGCTTCCATCCTCTTCACAGCACTGAAACAGCACTTCTCAAAATCTCCAACGACCTTCTCACTGCTTCTGACTTCTTTATTGTCTGTACTCATTCTTCTCGATCTCACAGCAGCATTTAACACCATCTCCCATAGCACTCTCCTCAGCAGACTGTCATCCATAGGTATCACTCACACTCCCCTTGCCTGGTTCACCTCCTACCTCTCTGGCCGTACACATTTCATTCAGCTGAAGTCATATAAATCCAATCTATTTCCTGTTTCTGCTGGTGTGCCCCAGGGCTCTGTCCTGCGGGGCCCCTTCTTTTCATCATTTACCTTCTCCCACTAGGTCACATTTTCCGTAAACACAACATTCCTTTTCATTGTTACACGGATGACACCCAGCTCTACCTCTCAACCAAACCCTCAGCTTCACTTCCACCCTCCTCCCTCACCTTCTGTCTCCAAGAAATTCATTCTTGGTTCACTTCCAGCTTCCTCAAACTGAACAGTTCTAAAACTGAAGTCCTCCTGGTAGGCACACCTCATATTCTCTCCAAATCTAACAGTTTCCCCATCTCTATTGATAACTCAGCAGTTACTCCCTCCCCTCATGTTAAGAGTCTGGGTGTCATCCTCAACAGCACACTTTCTTTTCAATCTCACATCAACATTATTAACCGGGCTGCTTATTTTCACTTGCATAACATCTCCCGCTTCCGTCCATCACTTGCTTCCTACACCACTGCCATCCTCGTCCACAGCCTCGTCACACCCAGGATTGATTATTGCAACTCACTTCTCTTTGGTCTCCCAAGCAAATCCCTTCATAAACTGCAGCTTCTCCAGAATGCTGCAGTACGTGTCATCACTAGGACTTCATCATCTCATCACATCACCCCCATCCTGCAACAACTTCATTGGCTGCCCATTAAACAGAGAATCAGCTGCAGAATTCTGCTCATCACATTCAAAGCTCTCCATAACCTGGCTCCATCCTGCATTTCTGATCTCATTCACATCACCACTCCTGTCCACGCTCTTCGTTCCTCTACTGCTCCCCAACTCTCGGCTCCCTCCGCCCGCCTTGTCACCATGGGAAGTAGAGCATTCAGTCGCTCTGCTCCCCACCTCTGGAATTCTCTTCCCCCCGATCTACGCACCACTCACTCTCTCGCACTTTTTAAATGAAAACTCAAAACCCACCTCTTCACACAGGCTTTTACCACACAGTTTTAATACATTGTTTTACATTTCAGCATCCTAGTGTTTTTACATATTTCTGTACTGTTTATCTTGTTTTACTACTTTCCCCATTGTTGTAAAGTGTCCTTGGGTGTCATGAAAGGCGCTGTTAAATAAAATGTATTATTATTATTATTGTTATTATTATTATTATTACCATTAATCAAGATGGGAGAGTCCTTGAATGTTAAGTGACAGTGTGATGTAGATCTGTCAGGATTTTCAAATCCTAGAGTTTCACCGTCAATTTTCTGTCAGAAGCTAATGCAGGAGATAGGTGTAGGAGACTATTTTCATATTCTGCCTGCATAAAAAACTCATCAAAGCATTGGTCAGATGTTTCTTTAGATCTTCTCAGTATTTTCCAGGTTAATAATCTTCAGATGGCTTCACTATCTGAAGATCAAGGCTTTTAGAACCCGATCCAAATGTTTTCCAGTGTCTAAAGAAGACGAGTGGTTTAGGGACCTGACAGAGACGGATAAGAGATGACTCCCACAAATATAAATGCAGTTGTCAAGGCATTTGGAGAAGAACAACCTCCTCTTCTTCATTAGTTAACTGTCACTCCTCATAACTCAAATAGACTCAGAGACTGAAATCACCAGTTCCCATGCTTTTCACACAAATCATCATCTAAGTGAAACAAATCTTTATACAGCAAAAATAAGGCAGCAGGATGAAAGTTGTCTAGATTCAAGAAATTCTTTTTATTGGCTCCAAATAAATTAACCTCTGTCATGACAAGGGTACAAAGAAGCCGTGCGAACTTGGCTTTACTCTGCGCTGGTCCACACTCTCTGCGGGATCATACTTTTATCCTACTTTGTCGAGACAGAGACGGCATTCATTGATCATTTTTCGCCCTGCTGAGTAAAAATCTCTGCTTTTAAGGCTTTGGCATTCGTTTAACACTTGTTTTTAAATATTACATAAATATAAGCTTCATTTAATACATAAACATATATGTAATAAAACCATATTAACATTTATTCTTCAACCTCCTGTCAAATTTTCTATAAAAAACTTTGGAATTTGATTGAAGGGCCGAAAATGACTGCATTCTTCAAATGAAAGGAGACTTATTGTGTAGCAGCCTTACTCAAAGACAACCCGGACAACAGACAATGACGAAGAGGAAGTCCGGAGGCGAGTAGCTCAACAGATTGTATCTTTACCCATCACCGATGCAGTCCGTAAACTGAATGAACCACATTGTGTGTCTTCTATTTTCGGCTTTGTCTCTGTTCTGATAAAAATCCACATAACACGAAAACATACAGGCTTCAGATTCTTCACAACACAAACTGACATAAAAAAACACAGAGCAGTTATTCGTCACACACAAAAACATTATTTGAAATAGTTTTGTATATGAACATAGAATATAAATTACATACAAAATACATGTGATCAACATATCTTATTTTCTTTCTTTGGGGATTTGATAAAAAATACACAAAAGTTATTTTCTTTATTGGACTTTGATGTGTCCATTCTTCCATCCGTCTATTTTCGGCCGCTCATCTGGGGTCGGGTCACGGGGGCAGCCTAAGCATGTGATAAATGATAAATTACCCGCAGACAGCAGAGGACTCCAAAGCGCTTTACACTACAGTGTATAATTCATCCATTCACACACTGATGGTGATGAGCTACAATGTAGCCATAGCTGCCCTTGGGCCAGATCCTCTGAGGGAATCCTAAGGCGATCCCTGGCCAGCTGAGAGACATTGTCCCTCCAGCGTGTCCTGGGTCTTCCCTTTAAGTCTTCTCCCGGTTGGACGTGCTTGGAAAACTGCAGGGAGGCATCCAGGAGGCATCCTTACCAGATGTCTGAGTCACCTCAACTGGCTCCTCTCAATGTGGAGTAGCAGTGGGTCTCCTCTGAGCCCCTCCTGAATGACCAAGTTTTCCACCCTATCTCTAAGGGAGAGTCCAGCCGCCCTGCGAAGAAAACGCATTTCGGCCGCTTGTATCCGCAATCTCATTCTTTTGGTCACTACCCAAAGCTCGTGATCATAGATGAGGGAAGGAACATAGATCGACCGGTAAATGGAGAGCTTTGCCTTCTGGATCAGCTCTCTCTTCATCACGATTAATCGATACAACTGTAGATGCAGCACCAAGGCACCTGTCGATTTTGCGCTCCATTTTTCCCTCACTCATGAACAAAGCCATCAGATACATAAACTTCTCCACTTGAGACAGGATCTCATCCCTCACCTGCAAAAGGCATTCTACCTGTTTCCGACTCAAGACCATGGTCTCAGATTCAGAGAAGCTGATTCTCATCTCAGCTGCTTCACACTCAGCTGCAAACCTCTCCAGTGAGAGCCGAAGATCACGTTCTGATGAAGCCAAAAGGACCCCATCATCTGCATAAAGCGGAGACTCAATCCTTTGGCCACCAAAACAGGTCCCCTCAAGACGTTGGCTGTGCCTAGAAACCCTGTCCATAAAGGTTTTGGCCAGAATCGGTGACAAAGGTCAGCCTTGGTAGACTCCAACTCTCACAAGAAATAAGCCCGACTTACTGACAGCAATTTGGACAAAGCTCTGACACCGGTCATACAGGGACCTAGCAGCCGGTATCAGAGGGCCTGGTACCCCATACAGTCAACACAACATCCAGACCCTTTAGGATGGTTTATGCTTGATGCGTCCGCGAGGTCCGCACAGCTCCGCACGGAGAAATTGCGTCATTTTAACAACCATGCCCCTCCACCGCGTCTCCGCACGGCCCAAAATTTCCGCAACGCGCACCTAGGAACATTTCTAACCACGCGGACAGTCGGACGTGGAAAAACATGGCGGACCGGCAAGAACTAGTATGGCAGAGGTTCGTAAATACAGACATTTGTATGATTCAGCTCTCAGAGATCACCGTGATCAACATGTTGTTAATAATTCTTGGAGAGAAATAGCTCGCACTGTCGGAAAAGATGAGGACGCTATTAAAAATGCTGAAATGCCATGTTGTAAACAGTCATTTTTACTTCTACTAAGGTGTAGCGTTGGCTGCATGCCGTAGAGCTCCATGCTGCCCCCTACAGTTTGGGAGAATATTGGCTCACCGCACGAACCATAAACGCTGCGAGTTGTGAAGCGTGTTCCATCCGCGAGCCGCATCACCAAGCGGAAAGTGAATGCGTCAAGCATAAACCAAGCTTTAAGGAACTCTGGGTGGATCCATCCACCCCCAGACCCTTGCCACTAAGTTTTTTGACCACCTCAGTGACCTTATCATCAGAGATTGAAAAGCCCAACAGTCCTCAGACTTTGTTTTCTCACTGGAAGACGTGCCGATGGGACGGAGGAGGTCTTCAAGGCACTCGGCCCACCAATCCACAATGGGCTGAGTAGAGGTCAGCAGGACACTGTCCCCACTTTAAACAATATAGCGCACTGCTTCCCCCTCCTGAGGTGCTGGATGGTGGAGCTGAAGAAAGAGTCCTATTGGTGTTTTTGGCCTGTGGGACTCCAGAGGCAACTGATGGGTACCAACTGGTGGACACCTTAGGTGGTCGCAGAGGGAAAATGCGTGAGAGGAGTTGGGTGAGACCATAGAGCAAGATTTCTGTACAGCTTCAAGGAATCCGTGACCATTGGTGTCCACCAGTCGGTTCAGGGATTGCCACCACGACAGGCACCAACAACCCTGTGGCTGCAGCTCTGGTTGGCCGCCTTGACAGTGGAAGCACGGAGCATGGCCCACTCGGACTTAATGTCTCCTGCTTCCCCCGGAACGTTTTGGTGGTTCTGTTGGAGGTGGGAATTGAAATTACTTGTGACGGGAGACTCCACCAGACATTCCCAGCAGACCCTCACAATACATTTGGCCGGCCAGGCCTGACCGGCATCCTCCCCTGCCATCGAAGCCAACTCATCACCAGGTAGTGGTCAGTTGACAACTCCGCCCCTCTCTTCACCCGAGTGTCTAAGACATGCGGCTGCAGGTCAGATGAGACTTTGATGTGTGTTCTTAAATAAATATAACATTCAGCAGTTTTTGGTGACTTTCAATTTCAAGGTGCAAAAATAAGAGTTCTGAGGGTTTGAATGGTGAGTTTGCCATTTCCTCCATTTACTGGAAACTCACTCCATGTTTGCTTTTCATCTTTGGTGACAGAAGCTTGATCAGATGGGGGCAGTTCCAGCTGTAGAGCTGCATTTGATGAGAAATTGTATGAAAACAACATAATTAGAGCTTTGAATGGTGATAAAATAAATAAATAAATAAACACTGTTTTATCCTTTGGCTTTGGAAGATAACACCAGCGTCTAAAGGTCAGAACTGAAGAAATACAGAAGCCTTAAACATGTTCATGATGCATAATGGAATGAAATAATAGATACCTGAAGGAGGAAGGAATCTAAATGTTTTGGAACTGCACAAACTCCGGCTTCACATGTTCTCTGGTGTCATACGAGCTACATGGTGTCATGAAATAAGGAATTGGTTTTAGAATGACGGAATGTGGTTATTTTAATGTTAAACGTTTAGCAAACAGAAGGTTGTGCATTCCCAACACAGCAATTTAAGAGTTAGTTGGATTAAAACAATATTTAAATTCTGCATTTAATAACACAAAGTTGATATTTCTGCCTGAACTAATAAAGATTTTAGCAACGTGTTTGTCAATATTAATGCTCCCTCTAAAAGACAGTTTTACCAGAGATTCCTGCAGACGTCTTCATTTCCTCAGCAGCTCAAACAGATGCAAACAAACATGCAACTTTCCTAAAATACATGGATGTAATTTTCACTTTGGAAGTGGGGGTTTATCTTTACAGTATGTTCTAATGGGAAGCAGGCTTCAACACAAACAGTTGTTTTCTGCCTGGTCCTAGAGCTGAACCAGTTTCAATTTAATATAGTGTAATATTGTTTTTTGGATGGTAAAAAGTGCAGGGGTCAAAACTTGACTTTGGAAAAGATGGGGTGTGGGGGTGGGGTGTGTGTGTGTGTGTGTGTGTGGGGGGGGGGGGGGGGGGTGCAATATGCAAAGAATCAAATGTTGGCTCTTACCCTTTCCTCCTCAGGAGAAACCTCCATAAAATCAGCCCAACTACCAAAAAAACTGTAAGGAGAAAAAAAATAATACGTTAAAAAACAATTAAAATGTTTTAAACTTCAATGATAATCATTTATAATAATTCCAAAGACAAAAAAAATGCATATTACCCAGTAAACAAGCTAACATGCTGGTTGTAACAAATAAGACCACTGAAAGAAACAACATTGAGATAACGTTATTTTAAAGTCACAAAGATAAATTATACACATTAGTAATGAAAATGGAACATGATGACCTACTGTTATCCTTGTTTGGGTTTACAATCTCAGGAGGAATTTCTGCAAAAACACAATAATGGAGTTACAGTGCTAAATAAATAATATTAGAAACAAAGCAGAAATATGAGTCTGTATGCCTCAGAAATATCATTGATACATGATAATAGTTTTATTTAGAAATGCTGTTTTTAATTAATATTTTCAAAAGAAATTTGATATAATTTTATGCAGCCGCAGAAGCCGTTCACTGATCTGAATTTAAACCCAGTCCGACACAGATTAAGTAGGATATTAAAATCTCACATCAGAATATTACATTTAAAACTAAATGATGTCAAATAAAATAAAGATTTGTCCCCTATCTTGCAAAGAAGAAAGATTTGTTTTAATCTGCAGATTAAAAAAACAACTAAAAGACTCTTAAAACATCAGACTAATTAAAATCTATACTCTTATTTCTTGGTTGGGGGACTTGAATTTTGCAGTGGCTCGTAAATAGCCAATGAAGTTGACAAAATAAAGTTTCCCTAATTTATTTAATCCAAGTACTCAATCTCAGTCCTGGAGGGCCGATTGCTGATGTTTTGCCAGCACAAGGGGGACTGGCAGTTTTGGCTTGCTTTTAGCACCCCCTAGTGTATGTTTAGTACAACTGAAAGCAAAACTATTCTCCTTGCTGTGTGTTCTTCTTTCTAACACATTAATCTAAACATTTAATTGTCTCCCTAGCCTTCCTTCGTGTCTACAGGAGTGCTTCATCACCAAATTAAACAAATCAGTTGTGTTTGTGATCTAAAACATGCACTAAATGTGCTGAAGCAGCCTGCAGTGCCAGGCATGTTAGCTCCATTTTTTCTTTTTCCAACAGACCGGACCGGCAACTCTGAAACTGTAAATGTGGGCAGTGTGGACAGAGGCCAGTGGGGGCCTGAGTGACGTTTCATTAACCCTGTAAAGGGTCATTTTGGTACATACAGGCTCAAGAAAATGACAATAAAGTATAAAAAGGGTGCAAATGATCCCTTTAACAGGCTTTTTTAGAATTTGAGGAAATGCAGCAGAGGTGCCTTTGGTGTGTTAGAGCAGAAAACGGCTAAAACATGCAGGGTGGCAGCCCTCCAGGACCAGAAATAAATAGTTCTGTCCTAAAGGCACCGTTTAAAATTATGCTAAATTATTTAGCCTAGAAATCTAGACCAACCCTAGCAGTGGTTTAGCCTAAGCAGCCCTAACTGTTTGAGCAGCAGCCAATCACAGGGCTCTCTGTTTAGTGGGTGGGCTTTGCATCAGAACTGTGATGGAAAAAAAAACTGCAAAGATGACGTCGGCTCAGGAATGGTGCTACATCGAAACAGCTTTGGCATGAACTTTGGATGATTTAGACTTGAAACTTTCTTTGAGACATGAGCGAATAGCGGTCCTTTAGTTCGAAGAAGGATGTATTTGATTCTTCAACGATGTATTACAGACTACCTTGTTTTATTATCACAGCGATTGATATGTCACCGTGTTTGTTGTTCTGATTGGTCCTAGTGCTGTTTATTTGCGTGCAGAGACAGTTTGAAAGACCACGGAAGATTCTGCCTCAGGACCGAGCTCTGTCTATGGGTCGTGGACAGAGTATCTATCTATATAGGATGGCATACCGGGCTACAAAATTATTGCTTTAAGAAAGATTGTAAATGAGTATATTATTTGTTAGATGTTAGGGACTCTTATTTAAACATTCAATTAGGATACAAGTGAAGTTCTGTACAGTTTAGTTTCAGCATCTCAGACATTTACTGTATATGAATCATGTTTGTACTGCTACATTACAATCACAGCTCATTTCAGATCACAATGAAAGGAAACCCATTTCTAGTAAAATGTTATTTTGAAATCTAGACCAAAATTATTTTTGTACATACATGAAATAAATAAAACATTAGTGTTTAAAAAAAAGTTTAGATATCTAAAAGCTTATGCTCTTGTAACCATCTCAGGCACCTTTTAAAACCAAAAAATAAGAATAATTCTTACAATCTTTTTCATCTTGAATAGAAAAATCCAATTTGAATGTTGGGAAGTGACCTAAGTGCACCATGCTTGTGATGCCGCTTTGCTGTAGCTAAACGGTTCCATGTGGACATCTGTACCTCGTTCTGATGCCGGGGTAGTTGGGGATGCACTGGCTGGGACGGCTGTGTCTCTGTGAGCTGCAGATGTTGAAAATGATCCTGAAGAATATGATGTTTCTGTGATAGAAATCATAACCGTTGTTGTAAAAAGGGTTATCATCTATATAAACATATATACTGGGGGTTGCATTTAAAAAATAGATATGAATTGTCTCAAGGTATGTAAATTTGTCAAAAGGTATAGGGTAGATGATTTGGGTTTTACTGAATACCTGCTTCTGTTGATGCTGGAAATGATGTTACCAATTTTGTAGTAAATGTATCTTCTGTAGTCACACCTATAAATGAGGACACTGCCACATTTATCTGAACTCAAATTGGAAACTGTTTAATCAAACTGAAGTTTGGGCATGCATATGAGTTCAATCTGACATGCAGTGTGTATATGCATGCTTCATGCACATGCTTCCCACTTTAGAATAACAGCTAAACATGGGAGTAGTCCTTCATGCAATGCTACTCAGTAGTTAAAGGTTACTCCTAATTCACCGTTAGCATTTTAGCCCAAAGTAGCCTGCTTAACCCGGTATTAGAGTAAAACAATAGGATGCTGTGGTTTCTTAGGGGTACAAGAAATAACTTCTAGGTCGCTCCTGTTTACTGGCTTTGGTTCTTTAAACAAATTTTTTGCACCAAAAACAAAGCATATTGCCTGTTGATGTCAAATTACAAATGCTGGTGGTGCACAGTTAGCTGCCCTCAGACTCGGCAACCTCACGGGCTCACAGACTCTAAACAGCAGCTGCATTCCTGTTTAGTTTTTTTTAAAGGAGAAAAACTGACAACACCTCCAGTCGGTTGAGAAGGAGATCTGTTTCAGTGTAACCTTCCTTCCAACATGATTGAGACATTGGGCTGTTCAGTGATTTTTTCACTGTAGAATTCTTATGTATTGGTAGCCTGACCACCCAGCCCCATGCTGGGAACTCTTCTATTCAAATAACCCCACCCCCTGAGAATTCTAACTGAGCCAATCAGCGCTGAGCAGTGTGCATCTCACACACACCGCAACGCTGAGCTACTCATAAAAATGGCGTCTGAAATGGAGTTCGCTGCGGCTCTTTCCTCTGTACTAAATGACTTGGACACGTCTTTAAAACCACAACAAGTAGAAGCACTAAAAGCCTTTCTTCTAAAGAAAGCCGCCAGACGCCATTTTTGACTACAGCTAAAAAAACGACAGCATCGCAGACGTCACACACAACGACGCTCAGTTTCTCATAAACAACGAAGACATTGGCGGAGATCACTGCAGCTCTTTCCTCTGTTTTAAATGACTTGGACGTCTTCAAAACCACAAGAAGAAGAAAAGACCTTTCTTCAAAAAATACGATGTTTGTGCCATTGCCAACTACAGCGTCGCGCAGTACAGTCGGCATTTCCGCCTTTATTCTGATTGGTTATTTTTGAGCTGGTTAGTCCCTCCCCTCCTGTGCCTCTCTGCCTGTGAGTAACCAGACTAGTTCTCTGTGCAGAATTAAACAGAGGATGAGGTGCCTTCATGTTGGAGTAGCTCTAGCTACAGCATTTTTCTTGCTAAAAACGCCCGGAAAACTCACTTAGGTTCAGAATATTGTGTGGTGACATGCATGCAACATGCGGGTAATGCAGTTTTGCTGCCACAGGCTGGAACTAAATGGTTCCATGTGGACATCTGTACCTCGTTCTGATGCCGAGGTAGTTGGGGATGCACTGGCTGTGATTTTTGTTACTCTGTGAGCTGCAGATGTGAAAGCTGAAACCGCAAAAGTGGACATTTCTGTGATATAAAACATAATTACTATTGTGAAAACGTGTCGTTTGTTACTGAAATGCGACAATTTTATCAAGAGATAACTGATTTTACTTCATCTAATGATTCAGTTGGATGTTTGGGGTTTCACCTTGTTCTGTTGATGCAGGAGCTGATGTTATTGATTTTGTAGTAAATGTATCTTCTGTAGTCACACCTATGAATAAGAACATCTCCACATTTATCTGAACTCAAACTGTAAACTGTCCATCAGCCTTTTATGAAACTGAAGGTCGGTCATGCACGAGTTCAGTCTGACATGCAGGATGTGCAGTCGTGCCCCATGCACATGCTTCTTTATGCATAACAGGGAAAACGTGGGAGTGGTGCTTCATTCAGTTAAATTTAACTGATGACTAACTTCTTAATAAAAAGGTAGTTTTGAGTCAACACTTTAACCGGTTAAAGATGTAACTCCTGCAGAGAAAAATGATGTGCTGTAACAACTATCTGGGGAAACCATGAGAACATCTACTGCATATCATAAACATCTCTTTGAGCTTACACAATCTCACACGCTAAAAGCTACTTTTTATTTATAAGATTAAGATTTGAAAAGCTCACCTGCATGTTTTGACTGACTAACTGTTACTAGAGGTTTCCTGGGCAGTAAACTGGAGCACAGGGAGCACAACGGCTCTTTAAAGTATCACAATAAGCATGCAAATCCTCGAAGGGATCTGCACAATCACGTTTAGACACAACATTGTGTCCTTTACTGCTAAAAGACTTCTAAGACTGTGTTCCAACTTCAGGAACATGCAGTAGGATTTGTTTATAATTGCAGTTAATCACAATATTATAAAATCATCTGACCATAGCTAATAAAAAAACACATTTTAATAGGTTCCAAGGCTGTTACTGTTATAGAAAATGTCTTCCATACAATAACACAGTATTTGGAAGTATTATCATTGATTTACCTATTAAAACTGTGGCCAGAATCAGGCCTATGTTCTTTGAAGTGGCACAAGATCATTTGTGTTACTCATTAAGTCTTGAATTAGCTGTAAATTGGACTTTGATCTGTTTAAACTATTTTTTCTATCACATTCCTTGTTTCCTGTTAAAGGTGTGGTTGACTGATAAAACATTTTTTAATTTTTATTCCTGATCATAATCAGTCACTCTGTGTGTTTTTATTCAGTCTGAACATGAAAATAGTCTCCTTCACCTATCTCCTGCATTAGCTTCTGATAGAAAATAGACAGTGAAACGCTAGGATTTGAAAATCCTCACATATCTATGTAACACTATGAATTTGCATTCATGGCATCGCCCATCTTGGCTCGCCCCCCCACCCCCAACGAATGGCTTTTAAAATATTTTTGTAGCGAAGAGAGACAGCGAAGAGCGTCTTGGTGCTAGTGACTTTGCAACATGTCTGAATGTGTTCTGTTAGTCAACCAGAAGTGAGGTGTGTGCATATCATTATACTAATGAGGAATCCTGCTGTTTTCAGCCCACCTCTGCACCAGCAAACTTCTGTATATCAGAACAGGAAGATGATAATGCATTGATTTACACTAAAGAACACTGCAAATGTACTGAATAAACCAGTAAACCGCACCTTTAAACAGATTTAGATTTTGGTTTTCAAGCTAATCATACACATTACCTATTTCATAAAAATCGTGCAGTCATGGTGTGTGTGTGTGTGTGTGTGTGTGTTTGTGCGTGCATGTGTGCGTGTGTGTGTGTCTGTGTGTGCATACGCATGTGTCCGCAGGAAGACAATGGAAACAACCTTTATGTGCCTTTAGGCAGGGGGACTACCAATGGAAATTAGCCTTTGGTTATAATTGGGTACATTTACATTGTAAAATGTTTATTAATACTCACTGTCCCTCTATATCAAATAAATATTATTCATTAATTCACCCCTAATTGTTAATGGGATGTAAGCCAGTAATCAAGATGAGAAAAGACAAATAATTTATTTTTGATAGATGTCCAAAAAGGCAAATGATAAAAGTTTAAGACCATTAGAAGAGCATGAAATAACTTAGCAGCACATCTGCCAACATCAGATCCAACAGAGCAGAAAGAAGCTTGTTTGGCTAACAGTACACTTTCTGATTTATCATTATGGATTTAATGAATTTGGGACCACACACTCTGAAATGGTTTGATAAGTGGAAACTCTGGATAACTATATCTTAAAATAATTTAAAAGAAGGGGGGTTTGAGCAGATCCTTGTGGTACACCACTAACAGTCAGAGTCATTAATAAAGTTAAGCAATCTGGGGGGAATGGTTTGGGGAGACGTTAACATTCTGGGACAATTGGCCACAACCTCTGCAAGACTCATTTTCCATAGGAATAAATGTGAAACCTCTGGCTAATATGACACAGCATTAGCAATCATACCATTATTTCATTGGATTCGTACTGTACAAAGGAAAGACTCCGCTACTTAGGAGATCTCTCATCGAGATGAACTAACTATTACACACAGAGACAAATTAGTTTAGTTTTAGCAAGAGAACCTGATGAGATGCAACAGTTTCACACACACATGCATACAACCCCCCCCATCCCCCCCCACGCACGCACACACACACACACACACACGCATATTAGGCTGTTTTAAGCTATTTTTACTAATATATTCAGGTGTGTTGTAGCATTCTGAGTTGTGTTGTAGGAATGTTCTTAAACGAGCAAGACAGCTTGAAGAGTTTTTTGTCAAAATCTGAATATTAACAACAATAACAAAAACAACAATGAATGTTATTATTGTTATTATTATTATTATTATTATTATTATTTATACTACTACTACTACTGATAATAATAATAATAATAATAATAATAATAATAATAATAATAATAATAATAATAATAATAATAAAACTTTCCTTCAAAAGATTTGTCAGTTTATTTTAACTATATGAGAAATTGGTTAAATTGCTTCATGGTTTGAACTTAATGTTTGTTATTTGCAAACTTTTTAAAGAAACCATCTGTTAGGACATGTAAAATTAACTTCATAACTTTACATTTGGTAAAAAAAGTTTTACGTGTGGACTTACCTATGCACTCGGGAGGTTGAGAATTGTATTCACCACTGTTGAGGCACTCAATTTGGCCATTTCCATTGATGGAGTATCCTTTATCACAGCTGTAAATTATGATTTCTCCCATTTTTGGAACATCTTCAGAGTTCCAAGAGTTTCTGCCATTGGCCACTTCAGATGGTCTGCTGCATGTAATAACTCCAGAATAAAAAGTAAAAATCTATTAAGATTAATGCCAAAATTAAAGAAAAGCTGGATGGGAATGAAGGAAAAGTACTAAAACACAAGAAGGTTTACTTTAAGAATGTAATTTGCTTCTGTCTGAACTGAACGACACTTACTCTCACACCCTGAAGAAAACCTCCACCCTGCATTGTAGCATCGTGCAAAGCTCAATCCTCTAATCGTGTAACTGCAGAAACACAGAGAGAGATGAAATAAAGCAAATTATTTATTTTAATCAAGACTTGGAAGTCATTTATACCCAAAAGCACAGAGTTTAATCATCAGGAAGTCTTTGACTTTAGAGATTAGATCATAATTTTACAATGTGATGTCACCAAAGACATGAATTTATTTAACCATTATTTCTCCAGATGAGTCGATTGAATACTCATTCTCATTTGTCAATGTTGGAACAACACTAAGAAAATAAATCATGTTGAGGTGAGACATCCTGGTGTCTCAGCTGTCTCGCTTGATTTTTAAGACCTTTTCAGACAAAATTTAAGCAGACATTAAATGTAAATATGCATTGATGCTTACCCGTCATCACAGGATAATTTTGCTTTAGCACCAAAGAGGGTACCTTCACTGAAATCAAAGTGCATATGCGGCTGTGGCTGAATGGGACCACAGTCCTTCTCTGAAATATAACAATGAACAAGAAATATTTGGACATTTTGGGCAGTAACGAACCAAATAAATGTCTAAATTAAACAGCTTAGATCCTAACACATTTTTTTATCTGGATAAAAATAATAACACATTCTTACTTTTACAGATGAGCTCTGGTTCCGTCCATTTATCGCTGATGCATCTTACGATGTCAGAGCCGCTTTCTTTAAAATATCCATTTCCACATTCTATTGTGATCTCCGACCCTTCTGGGAACTCATTCAGAAGAAGTGCCTGGTCGCTTGGGATTGTATTCTCATAAGCCTCCGGTTGGGGACATTCAGCTGTAGGAGGAAAACGGAAACATGGTTAACACTTCACAATAAGGGTCCCTTTATTAATGTTACTTAGTGCATTATTAAGCATTATTAAACAAAGTATACCATTGTTATTGTTACTTAGTGCAGTGTTAAACAAATAATACACTTATTAACATTACTTAGTCAATTACTAAGCATTAATAAACAAAGGATCCCTTTATTAACATTACTTATTAAATTATTAAACAAATAAACAAAGTATGTTACTTAGTGCAGTGTTTATTTATTTATTTATTTATTATTTATTCCGTGTCCTGTCTGGCTGTGAAGCAAACAAAATTAATGTCTGAATGCTGCAGATTTTACTCTTAGGTGGAGCATCAAAGCATCTGCTTTTAATGTCACGCCTGATACTTAAAACTTTATTGTTATTGTTTTTTGAATGCTTTGTAATTTCAACCAGACATGGAGACAGATGAACAAGAGTCTGCTTCTAGACCTGCAGAAAAGGGACAAACAACAATACAACAGGAGCAAGCTATCACTGCATCAACTTGATGAAGAAATATAAAATTAACATTGATTTACTGAACAATCACACAATAATAAATCACAGTGCATTTAGTGCCAACCACAGCCTTAAGACATGTGTTGAACGTGCCCAAGTCCACACTTATGAGAGCACCATGTGAGCACCTGTGTGTGTGCACGTGCTTGAATATGTAAGGTTTCTCTACAGGAGCGTCCAATAGAGAGTGTGAGGGGCCACAGATCTGCCCCCCAAAGATGCATAGGAGATGGAGGAAGCTCCAAGTCCCAGAGATCCAGGAGCTGCCCCAGAGCACAGAGACCTCAAGGAGACCGCAACCAGAAAAGCCCCTGCCCCCCTCGAGAGGCGCAAAGGATCGCCCCGGGGGCCACAACCAGCAACCGGCGGAGTCCCGGGAGATATCAGCGGCAAGCCCACAGGCCCGCCCGCAGCCTCCCACCCCTCAGCTGACCCAGCAACCTGGGACCCAGTGGTGACCACCCCCGCCGGGGACCCAGCAGAGCCCAGGGACCCAGATCCCACCAGGCAGCCACCGGGAGTGATCAGGCAGATGCCAAAAATCTTAAAACCCCTGACCCGAGAGCCACAAACATGTCATGGTCTGTGTCTCTTTGTTTTCCTCTTGTGTCCCCTGGTCTTCAGCCCTCCAGATATTCCCTCTCAGGTCCTGTGTTCCTTCAGTCTCCCCACCATAATTTCCATAGGTCTATTATTCCAGTTTTGTGTGTGTGTGTGTGTGTGTGTGTGTGTGTGTTTATGTCCTCCTCCAGCTAGGTGTGTGTGGTGTGTGTGTGTGTGTGTGTGTGTGTGTGTGTGTGTGTGTGTGTGTGTGTGTGTGTGTGTGTTTGTGTGTCCTTTCCCAGTTAGGTCTGGTGTCCTCTCCTGCTCCTCCTCCCTGATTAGTTATCACTTTCACCTGGTTCTCTCCCCTCACACCTGCAGCTCATCATCCTCCCATTATGCCCCAGTGTATTTAAGCCCTGTCTTGTCTCAGTGTCTTGTCGGTCCATTGTTGTTTGCATTTCTGTCAGCGTTTATTCGTGCTCTGCCTGAGCCTTTTTTTGGTTTCCAGGTTTTTGGTGCTCTAAGAGAGCTTTGGGTGTCCTGTGCTACAGGACTTTTGGACTTTAGGCTCGCTGCCTTGGATTTATTTTTTGTTCTTCCAAAATAAAGGGATTTGACTTTACCAACTTCTGCCTCGAGTCATCCTGGGTAAATCTGCACGTTGGGTCCTAAACATCCCCGCAATGTTACAAAACACTCAGGCAGACCAAGGCACCGCACTCCACACCAGGTGTGACAGGGGGAGGGGAGACGAAGATGTATAGCATCAAAAGAAGTCCCAGGAGAAGGGAGGAGTCAAAGGCCCCACCTGACATGTACAGTCATACACAGACACAGTCACATACTCCCTCCCTCATGCTCACACATACACTTACAACCAAAGACTCATAAAAATGCACGCCAGACAACCACTCATACTCCCCATACACCCTATTCACTCTGATCCCGGTACTGCTGCACATAGGGTACAGCCATTACCGGTTCACAGAGTTCAACCCTTTCTGCTTGGGTGCTGATGAGCAACCTCCCCTGCCCAACGCTGAGCAAAGCAACCCACCACCCCAGACCCCAACCAGACGGCCAGATCTCCTTCCTAGTCTCCAGCCCCGGGAAGCCAAGTGACAACAGAGGTGTGCTAAGACCCCTAGTCTCCCTCCCCCTGCTCCAATATAGTGTTAATGCGTGTTGATGAGGTGTATTCCATGGTTGTGGTGAGCGGGCAGTGCGGGCATCGTCTGGCGTACGCCAGCAGATGCCACCACACTTACTTAGTGCAGTGTTAAACAAAGGATCCATTTATTAACATCACTTAGTAAATTATTAAGCATTATTGAACAAATGATCCCTTTAGTAATGTTACTTAGTGCATTATTAAGCATTATTAAACAAAGTATGCCATTATTAGTGTTACTTAGTGCAGTGTTAGTAAATTATTAAGCATTAATAAACAAAGGAACACTTTATTAACATTACTTAGTAAATTATTAAGCATTAATAAACAAAGTATGCAGTTCTTAATGTTACTTAGTGCAGTGCTAAACAAAGGGTCCCTTTAGTAATGTTAGTGCATTATTAAGCATTATTAAACAAATTATGCCATTATTATTGTTACTTAGTGCAGTGTTAAACAAGAATCCATTTATTAACATTACTTAGTAAATTATTAAGCATTAATAAACAAAGCATGCAATTATTATTGTTACTTAGTGCAGTGTTAAACAAGGATCCATTTATTAACATTACTTAGTACATTTTTAAGCATTTATAAACTAAGGATCTCTTTACTAACATTACTTACTAAATTATTCAGCATTAAAAAACAAAGGGCCCCTTTATTAACATTACTCAGCAAATTCTTAAGCATTAATAACCAAATGATCCCTTTATTAACATTCCCAATATTGTTAAGTGTCCTTAAGGTCATGACAAAGGGCCGGGTGGGGGAGATTTCTGCTTAGTAATGCATTACTTAAAATTAAAATTAATATTAAGCAGTTGTACAACTTTATTTAATAGTTTACTAATGCTCAGTAATACACTAAGTAACATTAGTAAAATGACCCTTATTGCAAAGAGTTATCCGACAATGTTATGTTTGAAGCACTATAGTCACTATTAATATTAATAATATTAATAATAATAATAATAATAATAATAATAATAATAATGCATTGAACTTATATAGTGCTTTTCTAGACCCCCAAAGACGCTTTCACACACTCTCACATTCACACACTGCTAGTGATGGTAAGCTGGGGAGGTCTGACAGAGGTGAGGCTGCCATTTGGCGCCGTCGGCCCCTCTGACCACCACTAACACAGGCAAGTTGGGTGAAGTGTCTTGCCCAAGGACACAACAGCAGGATACCCCTGGCGGGAGCTGGAATCGGACCCATGATCATGAGGCAACCCGCTCTACCACCTGAGCTACTGCAAACATTTAAAACAAACAAATTAATGCAATCTAGAGGTATTCTGTGGTGATTTTATGCAATAGGAATAAAAATAGCTAAATTGTTATGACTGCTCTATTATTATTATTATTATTATTATTATTATTATTATTATTATTATTATCATCATTGTTATTATTTATGATGATTATTATTATTGTAACTGCTATAGACAAATAGCCTATAATACAGTATTGTTCTACAGTGAGAGCTAAAAATTTAAACTAATTAATACTTGAGAAGAAATTTTATTTATTTATTGATTAATTTTTACTTTATTTAGTTTTTTGCATATTTCAAATGACATCAACTTCTTTATTTTCTCCGTGACACCGACCTTTAATGTTTCCGATGAAGAAGTAAATTAAAATCAGGGACTTGAGTTTCTGCTGTCCAGAGGTGTGGAATGAAACCTCCATGATGGGCTGCCGACAGAGAGAAGGAGCGTCCCGCCGGTAAAACCTCTCCGGTGAGACCGAAACGTTGCTCGGGTTGTTAGAACTGATCCAACTCTCTAGCAGCAGAGCCGTGCCTCTGACGTGTCTCTGACGTCAGAAAAAAAGTGCCTACAGGAAGAAGCTAGAACTACATTGCAGGAATAAACAATAAGAGTTATTTTGTAAAGAATAGAAATAAATAAAAATAATGATATCAAGAAGAACACTCGCCCTTTAATTAACATTTAATTTGGGAAGCAAACCAATTATTTAAGCTCTTTTAAAACTCATTTTTCCTGCAATAAATTAAAGACAGATGACTCTTATTTTGAAAAGGTTTCCCGGATGTTCATGGTTTAAACTGTTGCAAAAACGTCCAAAACCAGTGGTGTTCATCAAAGCCAGTTATGAAGACACTCAATAAAACACCAAGATAAAACATAAAGGAAGTGAACATGAGAGTTTCAGGGTTAACACTAACTCTAACCCTAGGGGCATCCCCCACAAACACAAACTTATGGGTGTAATGGGAAGTCAGCTTTATTAAAGTGTGAGTAAATCATCACATCAGTCACTTAAAAGATGTTGGAGTAATTAAAAAAAAATCATGATCAGCGAAGGACTGAAGCGGACATATTTGAGGAGAGATTCTTCTCAGCGTTTTACGCAACAATAAATAGTGTGAGTCACTGTCTGCGGCTTGGGCAATTGTTGTGGATACGGTCTTTCCTTTGCCTCACTCACACACACACACACACACACACACACACACACACACACACACACACACACACACACACACACACGCACGCACGCACGCACGCACGCACGCACGCACACACACACACACACAGAGCTAAATTCCTAAGAATCCACTAGACATTTCTGGCAGCAAATACGTTAACAGGGGCCTTTTCTTCCACCCACTGTTGCCAAAGAAACCTTCAGACATGCTACCTAGAAACCGAGCAACAAAAGGGTTTTGTGTTCGTTCTCACCACTCTATGTGGTTCACCTTTCAAAGCAGAGAGAAAACAATTTTGAGGCTGTTTTAGGCCTTTTTGTTTAGGCAAAACCACAAGTGTTTAAAGAAGTTGGTTAGGGGGGAGAGAAATGCTCAGCTAGATGATCAAAAGCTATTAAATATCTCCTATTAGGGGAGTCAAACTAAACTAGCACCAGTGGTGGATCTGTGGCACGGTGGGGTTTTCTTATCTCTCCTAGCAGCCTGTCCAAGGAAATGTGTGAGACGCCTCCCTTCTCTATTGCTGACAAGAACGCATCTGCTTCTCCTCACATCTTAAGGAATACATGTTTTATTCTGGAGCCGCGGCTACACTGTTCACCTGCTTCACAAACATACCAGGAGTGTGACACTAAGAGCCAAGTTAGTATTCTTATCTCAGTTTGGTTCTCCTCACCACGGACCTCGCTGCTTCCACAGCCTCTCACCAGATCATTTCTCTGCTGGTATCTATCCATACATCAGGGAGGGTAAAGATCCAAACATTTGTATTAACTTATCGTCTGCAAGCACATTTCTTTCCTATAGATGACAATCAGGAAAAGATCAGTTAGCTCAAAAATACTATTGATGAAAAAGCTGTTTGGAAAACACCAGTGATCTCTAACAATAAATAAATAGAATCACCTGAAAGTCATCGCCACCTAGAGTTTAAAAAGCTGAATTGCATCAACTACCAAAGTAGATTTTAGTAAAACAGAACAGAACAGAATGGTTTGTGCAGAAACATCTCATTTATGTAAAAGTAATATGAAACGTAGCAGCTTTTGTCTACAGTTTATATATTGTTGCATGTAAACACTCAAAGAAATGATAATAAAAACAATTTTCAGTCTTTCGATCGAAGTGGCCCGAGCATCTTAGGATGCCTCCTTGTTGCCTCCCTGGTGAGATTTAGGAGACACAAGGGAAGGTCCAGGACACACCGGAGGGACTATGTCTCTGGGCTGGCCGGGGAACACTTTGGGATTCCCCTGAAGGAGCTGGCCCATGTGGCTGGAGAGAGGGACGTCTGAGCCTCCCTGCTTAGGCTGCTGACCCTGTGACCTGACCCCGGATAAGTGGAAGAGAATGGATGAATGCATAAAATGATCCCCAAATCTCTCAAAGTCCTTCCATCAGTGAGTCTTTGCAGTGCTGACCCCACGACTGTGGAACAAACTCCCACAAGTTATGTTTATGTATTTAGCAGACACTTTTGTCCAAAGCAACTTATAAGTGACAATGAAGCCAGCAGGTTGCCCTTGAGGCTAACAACAAAACAAGTCCTCCAAACACACTCACATCACCCCGCTTCTCCTCCAACTTCAGGGTTCATTTCAAGATCCTGGTTCTGGTCTTTAGGGCCTTACATGGAAAAGCACCATCGCACATTGGTATTTTTCTCAGTCCCTACACCTCCAGCAGGTCCCTGAGGTCCAGTGACCCTACTGGTTGTGCAGGGCACCAGGCTAAAGACCAAAGGTGACAGATCATCTGCTGCTGTGGCCCCCAGACTCTGGATCCCCCCGAGCCTGAGATCAGTGGACTCAATGGTCTCCTTTAAAAAGCAGCTGAATACTTGTTGAAGCTGGCTTTTGTGTGACCATTGTCACCACCCTGTCCTTGTTCTGCTCTTCTTTCTCCTTTCTCTGGATCCACTGATTTCTCTCTTTCCTGTTCATTTTCTCTGTCCCTTTCCTTACTTTTTAAATCACAATTTAGATATTTTCTCACATTAAACATTTTTTAAATATTTTTTAAATATTTTTTATACTTTAATTTTACATTTTTGTTTTTGTGAAGAGCCTCGTGATTTTTATCTTGAGAGGCGCTATATAAAGATTGTTTTCTTTCTTTCTTTCTTTCTTTCTTTCTTTCACTAATCTGTCAATCCTAGGTTGCAGTGAGGCAGCGTAACGGATCATAAAGGGAGGTGAACAAGGAGTGGACAGTAGAGTGGGGGACAGGTGCAGGGAGGGTCCTAGTTTAGAAGATGCTCTCTGATGAGTTGGGTCTTCTGGAGTTTCTTGAAAATCAACAAGGACGCCCCTGTTCTGGTAGTGCTTGGTAGGCTGTTGCGCATCTGTGAAACAACACAAAAAAGAGTCTGGATTGTCCTGAGCATGGTATAGGCCCTGCTAGCTGACAATCCTTTGATGATCGGTGTGGCCGGGTCGTGACCTAAGCCTTCACAAGAGGACTCAGGTAGATGGGAGCTGTACTATCCAGGACTTTGTATGCTAATGTTAGCAATTTGAATTTGAAGCATTCAGCTAACGTTAGCCAATGGAGCTCAGTGAACAGAGGGGTGACGTGTGCTCTTAGGCTGATTGAAGACCAGACGCGCCGCTGCGTTCTGGACCATATGAAGTGGTCTCACAGTACAGGCTGGAAGACCAGTTAGAAGGGCATTGCAGGAGTCGAGGCGGGAGATGACTGTAGATTGCACCAGGAGCTGGGTGACATAGTGTGTTAGATACAATCGGATCTTTCGTAAGTTATACAGCACAAAACGGCCTGAATGAACAACAGAGGCAACGTGATCTTTAAAGGTCAGCTGGTCATCAACCACAACACCCAAGTTTCGACCTACCTCAGAATAGGGAATAGATAGGGAATAATTTTGAATTGAGATATTGTGCCATATAATAAATAATAATAATGATGCATTTTATTTAAAAGCACCTTTCAAAGGACACAAGGACACTTTACAGCAATTAAATAACAACAAAGAAACTGTAGGGTTTAGGAAATTGAGTGCTTTAAGAGCTCAATATATTTTACCTCTACTTATGACCAATAAGCTCTGATACTCTAAATATAGAATATCAACCCTGCTTGGTCTTTGTGTGTTTATCAGAAGATTCTAGGATTCTTTATTTATTAAGGGATTGTACACACTTCGTTTTGATTCAGAAAAGAGCCAGGTTTATAAAAGTAAGAATTTATTTTACCAACAATTAAAACATGACAAGTTCACCAATATTTACTGTGATTGATGGAACTAGATGTGGTGTATGAAACCTATGTGTGAATGCAATGTTATCAGATCTTCTGGATCTAGGAGAAATGAGTTCTTGATGTAAAAGAATTTGGTTTGCGTTAAGCTATGAAGTTGATTATTATCAAAAGCACATCAGACGTTATCTGTATGTCTACTTCACCCGTTCTGGAGACCCTCTTGGTGGATCCGAAGGTCAGAGAGGTCGTATGACCTCTGGCACCGGAGGGCTGTAGAATACCGTGACACAGACTCTTCAATCCAGAGATGTCTCGGGTCATGACAGATGGATGGAACCGTGTGTCTCTGGTGGACTCTTAAGGAGTCTAAACAATATCAGCTTGTTCTGCAGGAACTGTTTGCTGTATCAGCTTTGCAGGTGCAAAAAGATTTTGACAACGTGTCAAAAATTTTGATGGTTAAAGAGGTCTTTTGCTTCAGACGGCCGGTCTGAAACTTTCTCTAGAACTGAACCGCTGAGTTGAACTGAAATGATGAATCACCAGAGTGATCCAGTTTTAATGTTCTCATGTTATGATTTGTGTAGCCAACCAGAGGTTGAAAAGTTTGAGGAATATTACCAAGAGTCTCAGAAACACACGCCTTCCTTGATACCGGATGCTCTGATCTGGGATAAAGGGCTATTTATGTGTCATCAGTTTAACTTAACCTTACTTTGTTCTTGTGTGATTGCGAATGGTGATGACCTTGTCATATAAACATGCCGAAACAAATTTCAATCACTGTAATCATAACATAACATTAATTTCCAACTTCAATCATTGAGCACAGATTAATGAAACATTTCTTTATATTATAATTATTATAAGTAGCAATAAACAAATGTTTATTTAATGATTATCTGGCTTATAAGTTTTAGAAGTTCAGTTTAATTTAGGAAATCATTCTTTGATTTAGCAACTGATCCGAGCTGTGAGTGTTAAGCATGAAGAATCCTGCAGGACGATAAGGATGGACCTTGAGGAGAGAACATTATTGTTGACAATTCGTTATCTGTGTTCAGAGCTGCAGAGATGCTCTGAGCAGGCTGATGGGATGAAGGCAGGCTGATTTAAAGGGGACACATGCAGTCTCGTGTCTCCTTTTTGACCAGATGTTGAATGGTCAAACTGTACTTAAAAACTGACCATTGCTGGACGTTAGAAAACCAAGTTAAAAACAGCAAAAATATCACACAGAAGCCTAAAAATACAAATGAAATAATAAAACCAATGAAGATGGGAAAGGTGACACTAGCAGTATGCAGTCTGAAACAGGTGAGTTTTGAGTCTAGATTTAAAGGAGGAGAGCGAGTCACAGTTTCGGATGGCTTGAGGGAGAGAATTCCAGAGACGGGGAGCAGAGCTGACAGGGAGCAGAGCTGACGGGGAGCAGAAGGTCAGAGCTGCTGAAGGCTCTGCTCCCCATAGTGCTGAGACGGAAAGGTGGGACAGAGAGAGTGATAGAGGATGATGATCTGAGGGAATGGATGGGAGAGATAATGTGAATGAGGTCAGACAGGTATGGAGGGGAAAGGTTATGGATAGCTTTAAATGTGATGAGAAGGACTTTGAAATCTATGTTTTAGGGTTAGCAGGTTAACAGGAAGCCAGTGAAGCTGTTGCAGGACAGGGTTGATATGGTGACTCACAGGGGTTTTAGAAATAATGCTTGCAGCAGAATTCTGGACCAGTTGGAGCTTATGGAGGGACTTTTGTGATGAATCAAAGAGAAGTGAATTGCAGTAGTCGATTCTTGAGGTGACAAGACTGTGAACAAGTATGGAAGCAGAGTTGGGGGGGGGGATTAATATTGCACAGGTATGGATGGTTTCACTGGCATGACAAGTAAATCAGATTTTGAGAGGTTCAGTTGGAGATGGTGAGATTTCATCCATCTTGATATGTCAGAGAGACAGTCCACAGTTCAAGCGGAGCCTGTGAGGTCATCCGGTGGGACCAACATATAGAGCTGGGTGTCGTCGGCATAGCAGTGATAGAAGCCATGTGATCGAATGATCTGACCCAGTGAGGTGGTGTATATGGCAAAGAGAAGAGGTCCTAGTACAGAGCCTTGGGGGACTTGTGTGGCAAGATGGTGAACAGCAGAAGATTGAGCCACGATACACTGAATGATCGTTCTATCAGGTATGATTCAAACCAGGAGTGTGCTTTCCCTTTGATGCCTATGCTAGAGTGATGGTCGGAGGAACCGGTGGCCCCTGTGCATCGCCAGCCTCGCCTCTGTCAGTGTGTCCCAGGGCAACTGTGGCCACATCGTAGCTCATCACCATCAGTGTGTGAATGTGTGTGTGACTGGATGAATGATACACTGTAGTGTAAAGCGCTTTGGAGTCCTCAGACTCTGAAAGGCGCTATACAAGCGCAGCTCATTTATCATTTATTTATCATTTAGAGAGTATGGACAAAAGGAAGCCATGGTTGACAGTGTCCAATGCAGCCAATAAAGATATCAGACAATCATCTGTCTGGAGTTTTAAAGCTAACTTGAGGCAGCGTGTTAGATCTATTTAACTTCTTAGTTGTTTTACTCATCTTCTTTAGTTTTTTATTGCGAGTTTTTGGGTTATTACATGTTGCAGTGCTTTATTGTTTTCATGAGTTGTGACATTTAGATTTGTTATTCCTTTTAATGTGTCACATGATTTTTTTCTTATTGCATGGTCTTTGTTTATCCCTATTTTACTTTGTAATGAAGCCAATAGAGGGTAAATTGGATTAAATAAACTGCTTAAGAGCTATCTATTTCTTTTCTCATTATTTTGTGACTAATAGCTGTAGTACTCTATTATTATAGAATATCACCTTGCTTGGTCTTAGGATGATTAATTAGAAGGTTCTAGGATTCTTTTAATTATTAAGGGATCGTCACACTTTGCTTATGATTCAGGAAACAGTCAAGTTTGCAAGCAAAATAAGAATTTATTTTACAAACAATTAAGACTAGGCAAATGGGAAATGTCTGGAAACTGTGTGTGCATATGAGATGATGAATCAGAATCTCCGTATCTTCAGAGGTGAGTTCTGGATATAAATAATTTGGTTTGCAGCTAAGCTATGAGAGATAAAATATATCTCTACCGTGTTATTAGTTCCCCAACTCAATTTTAGAAGCTAAGTGCCTTTTTTTAATAGATCTTATGAAATTTGAAAGTCTGTATTTATATATTTAATGTTGTTTTATGAAACCCCGTTACAAAGCACTCGGATGCTGCAGAACAAGAAAACCACAAAGTATTTTCAGCAAAATTTTATTTTAGTGCATGAACAGAATACTATGTCAAGGTCATCGACGACCCCTTTTAATCCATTTTAAATATTTACTCTTTTTTTATTACATAAAAAAATAATAGAGTAATTTAATATACCTCTACTTTTTCCCCCAAAAGAGCACTCTGCAAGTATTTATAAAGGTGCTGTACAATGTACAAACATTTACATCTAATGTTCGGACAGAATGTAGAAGAAACCACAGGGAATATTTTTCTATTGAAGCAATGCAAGGCCACAGTATGATGCAAAGATAAAATGGTTCAAACCAAAGCAAACAGAAATAAAACACAGGAAGGGAAATACAACGAAAAAGGAAGGTTTCCTATTTGGGGCCAGAGTGAACAGCCGGTACCTGGTACTCAAACCAACCAAACTATTGCACAAAACCTGAGCTCCAACTGGCTCATGGTACGACTCAGACCTGCAAATCAAAAACAGCTTCATGCAATCAAACCTTTAACCCCCATTTGGCTGCTAGTAACATCATCACATATTTGCTACAGATACTGTGTTCCCTGAGCTCATCTGAGTATTTCCTTATGCTGAGTATTTCTCACTTTCTCCAACTTTACTGCTTTACTTTCCCATTTTTACACGTAACACATTCAGAAGCATTTGTCCTGTAGCTGCCTGCCTTTGAGAAGTTAAAGATGAAATATGGTCAAATTTGGGTACTGCATTTTTATAAATGAAAAGTTACTTCCTCACTGCCGTTCCGCGAGTTTCATGGCTGTTTCCAGTTATGGATCAACGGCAGAAGATTCTAGAAGTCAGAAGATGAGTCATTCACAGCAAGTGGATAAGCAGATAAATGCATTGTCACATCTGGTGCTAACACTCTTGGGTGTTTTACGGTAGGAAGCACTTACTACACTTCTTATGGTAATATGACACCAGCATTAAGACAAAGTGTGGTTGTTTGCCATCTTGCTGTTTGCTTGCTGTTATAGATCTGAACGACTCATTAAAGGAAGTACACCTCGATTGGCTAATTTTTCACTTCACACATTTCACTGTAATATTAAGTTGTTTGTGATAGAAAGAGTTGCTTTAGATATGTTTAGAGCCATCTATTTGCTTCTAATTCACCATCAGCATTGTTAGCTCAACATTAGCATCTAGCCATCTTCACCCAATATTAGAGTAAAAATAAAAGTTGCCGTGGCTTCCTAGGGGTACAAGACGTAACTTCTGGGTCACTCCTGTTTACTGGGTTAGGATCTTTAAACAGCTCTGGAGCTTTTTACCTGCAGGTGTTGAATTACAAATGACTCAGCAAGCTAACAGGCTCACAGATTGAAAACAGTAGCTACGTCCCTCTTTAGTTTTTTTAAGAGAAAAACTGACATCCCGCCAGCTGAGAAGGCAATCCGTTTCAATGTAACCTTTCTTCCAACCTGATTGAGACATTAGACAGTTTTGTGATTATTTCACAGTCAAATTTTACATATTGCACCTTTAACATACTAAAAACCCTGTCAACAGCTTCACCAGCAACGTAAACCTTTAAATCACTCTGGCCTCCATCATACTTCATTCCGTTACGCTAGCTTAGCGTACAACCTCACACAGCAGGATGGACGAATACATAAAGTAGATATTAAATATTCATCTTTCTTTTCTCAGTAGTCAGATATAAAATAAGCAAGGACATGACTCAGAATTAATAAACTTTACATAAACTATCGTTTCGCACTTTAGATTTGAACCTTTTAGAAAACATGAAAGGTTTTTGCAAAGTAATGACAAAACCAGCACATTGTCAGCAACAATGAAATGGTACGACGTGAACTCCACAAACTAATTACAACTATTATGCTACAAGGGCTGACGCAGTGCAATGGAATTCAGTAGTTATCCTTTGTACTTTATGACACATTCAAATATACATATATTTCTATATTTTATATTTCACAATGAGACACATTTTGAGTGATTGCAAACATTTGGTACAGCAGTCTGAATGTTAATTCTATACATTTGATGAACTATTATGAAAGATCCATGGTAATTCCTACCACTGAAATTCACTGGGAATATGGTGAAAGCTCAAATAACACGGGTCATTTTTAAAAGTCTATATCAAAATGAGGAATGGTTTGGTACAGCTACATATACAGTAGTATCATCTATGACCTCAATAAATTACACACCGTTTATATTTTTTATCATTATACACATGGTAAACAAGATATCAAACCACAAGTTTCTGGTCTTTTTAAACAAAACTGTTTGAATGAAGCAGTGCCATGACTAGACCCATTGAACAGTCTGGAGTGTCTGTTAAAGTAAACACTTGCTTGATTGTGTTTGAATTCTGCCTGGTGTTAGGAATGAGAATAATAAACAAGAAAGTGATTCATCCTCCATGAAGCACACATGCAGCAAAACAGAAAGTACAAACTGCATGCAGTTGAGCAAATCTTTAAGAAAAGAAAAACCAAAAAACAAGTCCAGTTTGTTTACAATGAGTTTGAGGCAAAACTGAAACCCTATGAGTCACGTTTGGGTGTTCACTACAAACCAAAGGCAGGGCCCTTCTCTTTCTTTGCATATGGGTCATTGCATTGTAATTGGTGAAGCGCTGTTGGTAGTCATTGTTCCACAGGAGACTCCCAGGATTGGCACATTTTCACATTTAAAAAATGTCTTGTCTGACAAGGCCCCGGGCGTGCCGCGTGTGCTGAAATCCTGTAATAAAGATAATGAAGCAGCGGACAAGGCAGAGGGGAGTGCTACATGTGATTTTACAGAACTCCCAAAATATAAATCGGTCCATGGTCTAAAGGTAACGAAAAGGACCGACATGTTGCTCGTGTCTTTTTCTTTAAGGAAGAACTCTGACAAAGAATCCACAAATGATATCATGAAACACTTCATAGCACAGTTTAGCTCCAGGCGATTCAATGCTCTATCACAAAGGGTCACGAAACACTTCGTCTTCGGTTAGGATTTTGGCAGAGCTGGGTACTTTCCAAGGACGAGGGCTGGCAGGCCCTTTTGTAGTCTGGAGAGACCCTGGAATACTGTTTGTTGAGGCCACAAAGTCTTCTTTGGAGATGGATGTTCTTTCTCTTCCTTTTGCCTCTTTAGGTGTAACCACAGAATCTTTCTTGCTCCATAAATCTTTCAAGAATGATAATGAATCTCTTTTGCTGCTAGTGCTTTTACTTGTATCCTGGTTTTCCGCGGGCTTGCGTTTGCCTTCAGCATCTCTGATCTCTGAGTTTTTGTGTCTACTTTTGTCGCTCTGTCTCATGACAGGTGTCCTATGGGGATGAGCTTCTCCCGCTACTCTCCGTTTAAAGCTTTCTTTATCAAGAGAAGGCCTTTCTCCACTTCCTATTGTGTATCTTCTGGTCTGAACATTTCCTCTGTCACCATTTTTAAGTTCATTTCCTAAAGTCGCTCTGCTGGAGGAATCCTTTAATCTCCTGTGACAGACTGGTTGGTGCTCTGTGCGCTGCAGCTCCACTTGCGGTCCAGTTTGAGGCTTCTCCGATCTTAACATTTGTGTTTTTGCATTCGAAGCCATTCTGCTTCTGCTCAGCGTTGCACCTTGTGCCTGACTCTCAGCCTGTTTGGGACTGTGATGTTGCTCTTTGGCTTTAGGAAATGTCTCCCCCGTTTTCTTTGGGCTGCTTAGCTCTCTGGAGTCTTTTGTGGACAGGGTTCTCTTGTAAACCTTCGTTTGATCATAGGAGAGAGGAGAAAGCCTTTCAACCTTCTGTTCTGCCCACTCATCACTCTCCTCCACTGAGCCTAAGCCCCTGCTGTGGCGGGGCTCAGGGCCTTGCTGGGAATTGGCGCTCCAGCTGTGAACATGTTTCAGCCTCCTGGAGAAGGTAGGGGAAAGGAAAACGGAAGCCCCTGTGGGAAGTGGTGAGGTCTGGGGTGTTGAGTCAGAGAAAAAAAACTCTCTGGAATAACTTGTGGGTGGCATGAGTTGTTGATGAAGTTGATCTGTAAGAGAAGTGAATTTTTTTTTTACTTGAATACAAAAAAACTTCCACATTAGAGGGAAGTTCCACCTCTAAGTGAGATTCATTCTGTTTCCATGTTACCCAGAGTTTGTGGGTAGTGGGAAAAATTATTTTATAACCAGCCCAGTCATTATTCTAATCTGGCAGTATTCCATTAGCTTTAGCTTAGCATAAATAATGTAAGTGAATGGTAACAGCTAGCATTTGGTGTGAAAAAGTCATGAAAAGGACTCAATAACATTCCTAATTTTTCTTGGTGACCTCATTATTAGATAACACGAAGTAATTGCAGTAGTAGATATAGATTTGGGACTGCATTACGACAAAGCCCCGATCCAAGCAGCCACTGCAAGGTGCAAGGACGTGACACAGCGGCCTAAAAAGACACTTACTCCTGTAAACACAAGGGCGTGGCTTCTAGGCTTATGCCCGGAACAGTTTTTTGAAGGTACAGCAGAGTAAGTTGCACTAAAAATGGCAGAGAAGATGACAGACAATATAGGTGTCTTGGGGTCGCTGCGTCATGTCCTCAGGGCTTGCAGCAGTGCTTTGTCATAATGTAGTCCCAAGTCTAAATCTGTTTCAGAGTTTCCTTTGTGTTACTTGTCATTTGCGGCTGATGTGATTATTGAGGTCAAAAAGAAAAAATCTGGATCATTATTGAGTGACTTTAATTACTTTTTCACAGTAAAGGCTAGCTGTTACCATTCACTTACATTGTTTATGCTAAGCTAAAGATAATGCAATACTACCAGATCAGGAGAATGACCGGGCTGGTTACAAAGTTCTATTTCCCACTTATCAAAGGCTGGTGGATTTGGCAACAGACTAAATTTCACTTAAAAATGGAATATCCCCTTAAAGGCTAATTTTAGAATGTGAAGGGAGTAAATTAGATTGTATTATTATAGATGTTAATATCAGTGAGGGGAAAGTATGTGAGTGAGGAAAGAATTACCAAGGTTAAAGAGAAGAGACCAGCAAAAGCAGGGATGATGTTAGTGTTGGTGCTCAGTGTAATAGCACGCAGTTGAGGAAGCGGTATTACCTGCATTTGGGGCAATAAAAGATTACAAATAATAAGAACACAGGAAACAAAACATACATTCACACACGAAGACTGTCATTAACCCCGGGTAAACGTTATAAAGATTAATGATTTACACATGCAGTTAACTGGTGTTTTCTTTCCTTGTAAAAGATTAACTGAACAAGTTTAACACAGGTCTGGTAAGTTTATTTGACCAAAAGTGTTTATGAAAACGTTGCTGGTGCTCCAGGACTTTCAATTCTAATAAAGCCTATAGTTTTTATTAGTAAGCTTGAAATCGTCACCTCATAAAAGTATTTTTGACTAAAAACTAACATGTCAAAAGCAACTTCTTTTTCATGGAAACAATTTTACAAAAAAAGGATGAAACCAGTAAGTTCAGTGCTGTGAAAAAATATTCATCCCCTTGTCTTCTGTTCACACTTCAGTTTTTCTACATTACAATTTTTACTATCAGACAGATAGATAACCAGCATAATAAATGCTGTTTTCTAACTAATAATTTCATGTATTGGGGGAAACACTACCTAGATCAGCCTGTAATAATGACCCCTGACTGGTTGAGACTGTGATGAAGCACATAGTGAAGGAGGAAATTTATCCCGCAGTTTGTTGCAGAACTGTTTGAATTCAGCTACATTGTGAGAACTTTCCAGGAAAAAAAATTGGATGGCTCCATGTGGTCTGGGTCCCCAACACATTCTCGCTCCCAGCGCGTCAAAAAAAAACGCTTGGTCAGCCACCCTCCGCCTCAGACCTCTGACGCCAAAAGTGCTCTTTTTCATTACTTATGTGCGAAAAGGGTTTTTTCCATTTTCTGTCTGCAGATCCCAATGCAGAGTAAAACTGACGTGATGGGATATCCGCTACCGTTCCATCCCAATGCAGCGTTACACTGATGCGATGGGATGTCCGCAGCCAGGGCACCAAACAAGCTCATTGTACCTCACCTAAACCTTATCCTCTTATTTAACCTTATCCTCTTATTTAACCTTCCCCTCACCCCTATCCTAACCTTAACCATCTTGCTAGTGAACACGTTAGTGATGTGTCGGCCGCTCTAAAATCCGGCTCTATGAAGCGAACGGCGGGAGCCGCCTCGTCATTGGTCCGGTTTGGACCGAGCCAACGCGAGGGGGAGGTTTCAACTAGCACGGTGGAGGTTAAAAGTAGAGGGTATTTATAATCTCCCCCTCGCCAGATGGTATGTTCTAACGTTCCTCTTGGGTGGCAAATACAAAAATTCACAGTCAGAATGCATGAGAAACAGACGCTTGATCACAGTGAGAGTAACGTTTTAGGTAGCAACAGGGTTAAGGTTAGGGTGAGGGTGAGGGGAAGGTTATAAATAGCAAAACGTTAAGGTTTAGGTACGGTTAAATGAGGTGGTTCGGTGCCGCATCAGTGGACATCCCATCACATCAGTTTTACGCTGCATTGGGATCTGCAGTTAGAAAAGGGAAAAAAAACTTTTCGCACATAAGTAACGAAAAAGGGCATTTTTGGCATCAGGGGTCTGAGGCAGAGGGTGACTGACCAAGCATTTGTTTTTGACGTGCTGGGAGTGAGAATGTGTTGGGGTCCCAGATGATCACACTGACACCACCGCTGTGTTTAACTGTTGTCTCTCATGAAACACAGTCTTAAGCCTAGTTCAAACTTCTCTATCAACAAGCTTGCACTCACACACATTTATTGACGGAGACGTTTTCCTTTTATACTTTTTTCTTAGTGTGTCAGTCTTGTGAAGCAACTCCCCACCAGGACAGCAGAGGGCGTATAGTGCTTTTCTGAGGTATCCTACAGTACAGCCTCTAGTGCAGTGGTCCTCAATAGGCGGCCCGCATGTCCCCTCTTTGTGGCCCCCGAAACCTGCGTGCTACTCCATTCAATCTTGCAAGCCTTTTGGAGAGCCCTTGCAACAACGAATAATGGTGTTGTGTGTCTCTGCAGCTAGAGAAGTATGAACTAGCCTAGTTTTACGCCAGATGTGACCTTCCATTCAAACCTTCTAAACCTACACGTTTGTCTCACCCCTCCATTGAATGTTGTCAAATGTCTCCAAAGTCATCATGATGTTTTTGGAGAAATGTGACAGGAGTCTCTTTGGTCAGTACGTATGTTCTCCTTGGAATGTTCCCATGGACCATGATCTCTGATCTTAATCTTCTTTTTCCCTATGTTTATCCCGTCTGGCAGAGAAATAATCAGTACTGTTTCCGAGTGCCATAAACAAGCCTTAAAGGTTTAATTAGACAATTGTAGCATTACAGCTTTCGCTATAATTCTCCACTTGATATACTTTTAGAATGAAATGTATTAGAATTGCTTTTTATTTGAGTCCCAATGAACACACAGATGGATGTGAGAGGAAGGAAGAGAGGTGTGGGAGAATGTTAACAACAATAGAGAAAGCAAAAAGCACAAGGATCCACTTCTAGAACTGGATCTACTGCAGCGATTTATTAATTCTACAAGTCTGGCAGTAATCCCATCTGAGTTTTGCTATTGAAATGAAACTCAACATCTGAAATATATCATAATTTAAAGCTAAAGTTGCATTAGTCGTCATCACACACTGGTGAAATAACATCCCTGCATCTGACCCATCCCTGTGGGGGGCGTGAGCAGCAGCAGTGGCTGCGCTCGGGAACCATTTGGTGCTCTAACCCCCCAATCCAACCCCTTAAAGCTGAGTGTCAAGCAGGGAGGCATTGGGTCCCATTTTTAAAGTCTTTGGTATGACACGACCCGGATTTGAACCTTGATCTCCCAGTCTCAGGGCTGACACTCTATCACTAGGCCACTGAGAAGGTAAAAAAAAGGGGGAACAATGATTTTTTCACAGGGTCAGGTTATTTTAGATTATTTTAATAATGACATCCTCTTTTGAAAACCACATTTTTGTTTTTGGTCATCTTTGATGGAGGAAAGTGTTTGCTGGTCTGAAGCATCAGAGGACTTTTGTAAAAGGGTCAGCACTTTTTCACAGCACAGTGAATAGGATTAACAATGAGGCTGGGAAAGTCATTTACCAAAAACAACACAATATGAAAAGTCAAAGTGTTAAGTTCTGCTTGAGTTGAAGGTCTAAGAGCAGACAGCTTTCAGGTTTTTCATTTCTGCACATTTTTTTTATTTATGATGAAATCAACCAACTGGTTTGAGCTGCTCAGATTCAGAAACTGTAGCTTTTCCAACCAGTTAATCAAACTTTATGTAGCTAAATTTTTAAAGGTAAAGCTTTGATATATTCAGCTTTATTAATTACTTTTCTTTCCAACTGCACAGTTTGTCCATGCAGCGTGCCCAACATGATTAAAACCTTCCCAAAAGGGAATCTTTCTGAGGCACAAAGTTAATCCAGCTGGAACATTCCGGTGTGTATAACTCACTTCCATCCTGGGCCAGACCTGCTCCAGGTCTCAGCAGCAGTACCACTTTGCTTCCTCCAGCTTGAATCAGTTCAATTGCCCGTGTATGAGAAATGCCACGAGCCGGCTCCCCATTAATCTCTACTATCTCATCTCCAACCTGTCAGCGACACAGAAGAAAACACACAACTAACATACTCCGGAGTGCACATGTGTGCTCTGAAACAAACCTAAACTCAAAGGATCTAAATCTAATGCTGCATTCAAATACAGCTTTATAACCCCCTACAGGGACTGCGCTTTGCCAAATAACTCACGATAAAGCTTGTAAACACATCAGAGTGTTGAGCTCTAATCAGTGTTAACGTTCCCCATCATCCTTGGGTAGGCAAAGTCAAGCCCAAAGATCACAGTCTGGCAGGATTGATTCAGACAAGGAGCTTCTCTCGTTGCTGGGAGTCTCTGTTCTCATCCGAACAGGGATAATAAGAAACTTCCAACTCAAGGGGGAAATTTAAAATCTGGTAACTCACACAGAGAAAATATTTAATCGTCAATCCCCTGTAAATGACTTAAATGGTGAAACAGGATCTTCTCAGAGGACCACATCGACTGATGAAAAGAGACATCATTATTTTCAATGAGTCAAAATCATCCCTGAGTCATTTTCTTCATCCAACTGAGAGTGTGAAACACTGTTACGCCCTCTAGAGGCTGATTGAACTAAAAACAGCTCATGTAACAGGATAAAGGTGTAAGTGGAATTTATATGAGGCAAAAATCTATTTCACATCTATACGAGCTGCGGGATAAATGTTTAAATCATAACAGTTGCTCACATGGATCCTTCCATCGAGTTGCGCTGGTCTGTTATCTGCAAGTCTCAGTATGTAGAGGCCCATGTTGTATTCGGTGCCGCCACGCAGACTAAAACCGAAGCCCACCGGACTTCTCTCTAGCTCCACAGTCAGACAACCCTTCACAAAGAAAACAGTCCCCTCAGTACACACTGACATTCATGCAGACGCAGCCCAAATTCATTCTTATCATGAACATGAAAACACGAAGCTATTCGTGAGATTTCTAAAACATTTTAAACACAGTGTGTGTATGTGACACTGAAAGATTTTGGGTTCAGTGAGAATGTCGGATTTATCCATCAATCGAAGAAGCTTTGTTTAAAAACATGCTGAGATGACAATTTCCTTCTAAAATGTGAGGAAACTGTTGTGTACTTGTGACAGTTTGTGCACATTTTCTTTTAACAAGTTAATTTGCATGTTTTAAAGGTGCATAAAGTAAAAAATCAGTAAGAAGAACATCCTGTTATCAAATGTGGTTACTACAGCACATTTTCCAAACACACAGGACAACTTTCTCACTCCCTCTAAGTAAGTTGGTATAGAAAAATAAATTTCACTGTAATATCAAGTTGTTGATAATTGAAAAAGTATCTTGAGATATTTTTGGGATTGAGTATTTGTTTCTAATTCACTGTTAGCATTGTTAGCACAACGTTACTCTCTCACCTTCTTTAAACGATATTAGAGTAAAACAAAAAGATGTTGTGGCTTGTTGGAGGAACAAGAAATACCTTATAACTTATACAGTTAGTTGAAATTAGCATTGCTTAAACATTTTCACATACTGCAACAATGGAAAAAATTTCCAACTTTAAAAACCAAAACTGCTATAGGCTCAAAGGAGCCTTGTTACTTTCCGTTGAATTTGAATTGATTTTGCATGAATGAAAGTTGTATTAAATTACGTCAACAAGCTTAAATGCATCTTAAATTGTAAACTATCTAAACAATAACTTGGATGTTTTTTTTTTTATTAGCGTAAAAACAGTTCTTTCCATATTTATCCTGCTCAAAGTGAAATTTAAATTAAAGGTAAGGATTTGAACACCAGATAAAGTGATTGGAGGATTATCCCTACCTGGTTGGGTCCTGTCACACACAGTGTTCCAGGCTCACCGAGTGGAAGCGTTTTCTGTTCGGACCAGTTAGAACCGTCTCGTTTCTCCTCCAGGTCCAGGTTCAAACTACAACAAGAAGCAAGCAGATTTATCATGGAACATTTGAAGGAAACTGAAATCTGCAGCTACAGAAAATGTAAATCAAAACATTTCAAATACGGTAATATGTTGCATTAGGAAATAATATATACCTATAGTAATAATAGGCATATTGTTATTTTTTTTATCGTTTGTGTTATTAATCGCCATATGAATTCAATTTGTTATTGGGACTTCTGTGCTCGTCATGGATTGTCTATAATGTTCAGGCGTAAAGGTGTCCTATGTGCTCTTGGCACCAGGATACCTTTGGCCACAGCTCTATTGACTCTGTTGTTTTCTCATGCGGCCGCAGGTCTTGGGACACTTGGGTAAAGAGAGGGGCGGAGCTGCCAACTGACCATTACCTGGTGGTGAATTGGCTTTGATGGTGAGAGAGGATGCCAGTCAGACCTGAAAGGCCCAAACTTATTGTGAGGATCTGCTAGGAACGTTTAGCGGAGTCTCCTGTCAGAAGGAGCTTCAATTCCCACCTCCAACAGAACGTTGAAAGCGTTCCAGGGTAGGCGGAGGATATTGAGTCTGAGTGGGCTACGTTTTGTGCCTCCATTGTTTAGGTGGCTAACTGGAGCTGTGGCCGCAGGGTGACCCCAACCCGCAGGTGGAAGGTTATGGATGCTGATTAGGGATGTCCATCTGAAAAAGACCTATTGGGGCAGAGGCAGCTGATAGTTACCATCAGTCAGAGAGGAACACAGCAATGGTGGTCACAGAGGCAAAAACATGGGCGTGGAAGGAGTTTGGTGAGACCATAGAGAAAGACTTTTGTATGGCTTCGAGGAGATTCTGGTCCACCATTCGGCCTCTCAGAAAGGAAAGCAGTGTGGTACCAATGACTTGGGACGTTGTGGATCGGTGGGTGGAGTACTTTAAAGACCTCTTCCAACCAGCACGTCTTCCAGTGAGGAAGCAAAGTCCGGGGACTTTGGGTTGGTTTCCCCAATCTCTGGTGCTAAGGTCACTGAGGTGGTCAAAAAGCTCCTCGGTGACAAGTCTCCGGGGGTGGATGAGATCCGCTCATAGTTCTCTGGATGTTGTGGGGTTGTGTTGGATGATGCAGCTCTGCAATATTACTTGAACACCGGGGCAGTTCCACTGGACTGGCAGACTGGGGTGGTGGGCCCCATTTTTAAAACGGTAGACTGCAGGGTGTGTTCCAACTACAGGGGAATCACTCTCCTGAGCCTCCCTGGTAAGGTCTATTCAGGGGTTGTGGAGACGAGAGTCCATCGGATTGTCGAACCTTGGATTCAGGAGGAACAATGTGGTTTTCATCCTGGCCGTGGAACACTGGACCAGCTCTATACCCTTAGCAGGGTCTTAGAGGATGGGTGGGAGTTCGCCCAACCAATCTACATGTGTTTTGTGGATTTGGAGAAGGAATTCAAACACATCCCTCAGGGACCCCTGTGGGGGGTTCTCCAGGTGAATGAGGTACCAGGCCCCTTGATACTGGCTATTAGGTCTCTGATGACCGTTGCCAGAGCTTGGTCCCAATTGCTGTCAGTAAATCAAGGTGGTTCCAGGTGAGAGTTGGACTCTGCCAAGACTGCCCTTTGTCGTCGATTCTGTTCATAACCTTTATAGACAGGATTTCTAGATGCTGCCACACATAAGCAAAGGAAAATGGATGGATGGATGAATTCAATTTGGGTCTAAATGTTAGTCTAAATATCAATCTACTCATACAAACACTATTTCTGCTGGTTTTATGAGTATTTGTTCTTTCCAGCATTGTGATGTTATTTTTTTTAACATTAATTGCATTAAAGAACCTGTAATGTGATTTTTATGATAAAATACAGAAAAGAAAATGATTGCAATAAAGTTTTTGGTGTCGTACAGAATATCTCCAGAGCATGGTGTCTGTCTCAGCGTATATGAACTAATGCTGGTTTGATTTTATCAGTTTGGAGCATTTTTGTTTCCCAGATTTTTACCGTTCATCTTGAAAAGGTGACCTTTGACTCATAGCTCTGTGTTGAAGAGCTGGACTCTGTTTAGCTGAACTTGCTCCAGATGGAGGACCCTTGTATTCTAGAATACAACATGAAATCACACAGATCAGTGCAGGAAGTTACAAAAGAAAGCAAAATATCTTATATAGAATCATTTTACATCATGTTTCACATTCATTCTATTTTTATATGTATTTTCCACTAAAGTTGTACACATGCTTCACCACCAAATAGTTGAAAACCTGCTTTTTACCAACTTATCTGAAAATGAAAGAGATTTACTTATACAAGTTTATTTCTAATTACACATCAGCCGCAGATATAAATTAAGATTACACTTGCAAACAGAATCTCACCATTTGAGATTTAAAGAAAATCTACAAGGCTCGTTATCCGTTAAAAGTAAATATGGTTATTTACGGGTTTTGTCATCTACAGAGGAAAATATTGGTAAATCATTTCAAAAGAAAGGATACTGTACGTCTCTGCAGGGAAGGGATTACGCTGAAAATCAGTACTTAGTGACTGTGGTGTTTCAGCCCTCGGGTGGCATCGGATTAAAGAAAAATATATGAAAAAATAAATACAAGTATAAATAAGAATATGTTTTAAAGACTATTTTTACATTTTTGGACCGAAGGAAAACCATTCTGTGGCCAACAATATTAAAATATGAAACTTCAACTGAATTAATGCTTCACCTGAGCCAAGGAAAATAAGGCAGAGCGTCCATCAGGTCCTACTAACAGACATGCAGTTTGAAACCTTGTGTTTGTAATGATATGAATGATTGGTGCAAACTGATTAACTTTGGTAAAAACGGAAAAATCCTTAGGCATTAAAGCGGTCGAACATCTTCGCCATCTGAAAGTTCATCACACACTGGTGAAATTGCATGTCTGCATGTGACCAATTCCCGTAGGGAGCAGTGATGGTGGACTGGCCATTCAGGCATTCTGGCACTGTCCCAGTGGGCTGCTTACCCAAGTGGGTCGCTGGCCCAGCTTTGGCCGACCCCCGCAAGCACCAGCACCCCCACCGTGGAGGGCAACTGCTCATAAAAATGCCAGGGCCTAATTTTCATCCCAGTCCACCCCTGGCAGTGAGCTGCAGCAGTGAGCTGCAGCAGTGGCTGCGCTCGGGAACTATTCGTTAGTTTAACTCCCCAATCCAACCCTGTAAAGCTGAGTGTCAAACAGGGAGGCATTGGGTCCCAATTTTAAAGTCTTTTGTCTGACTCAACTGGATTTGAACCCCAATCTCCCAGTCCCAGGGTGGACGCTCTACCACTAGGAGGGTTAAAACATTCAGCTCATGATAAAACAAACAACACCTACAACTGTTGAGCAGCTCTGTTTGTTTCTACATGAGCTGGTCTCTGTTCCCAAAGATGTTAAAAGAAAAGATGATCCAATGGAGTAACAGCTGTGTTAACTTTTAAAAGTAAACACATAGCTGCCATTAAATTAAAAATGAGCATGTACTTGTTCACAAAAATAGCCATTTCTAATTCACATCATGTGAAAATGAATTGATTTGCTTTGCATATCCACCCTCACTTTTTAACCCTCCCACTGTCCTAATGGGTGTGGCCCCACGAGGAAAATTGACTATCGAGCAGGATTGATGGTTTATCCATTGAGGTCCACGTGGCGGGGTGAGGTGGTGCTCATTCCTCACCCCTGCCACATAGACCCAAGGGATAAACCATCAACCCTGCTCAATGGTCAACTTTTCTCGCGGGGTCACACCCATTAGGACAGTGGGAGGGTTAAATATAAAGATATAGATGCTGGCATTACACTGACAAAGCATTATCTTATTTTCTATTTTGTATTTTGGAATTTTGCTTTTATTCTAATAAAGAAAAACATTAATTCTACATTCATGTGCTTAAAAATAAACTTGTATTAAAGATGCTAAAACATCCAGACAGCTTTGGTTCTCGTCTAAAAATGCAAAACTAATTCATTTGCAGATTAAAAGTGATTTAAGCTGAGGTGATTATGGGATGCAGTAACAGTTTAAGTAATGACTCTGTGCGCTCACCGTCCTCAGGAACCACGGTGAGGGTGACGACAGTGCCTGCTTCCTTGATGAGCTGAACAATGTCGTTGTGGGAGAGCTCAATGATGGAGCGGCCATTGACTGCAGAGATACGATCTCCAACGTGCAGCAAGCCACAGCGGTCAGTGGGACTGCCTTCAATGATGCGGCCGATTTTGTGAGGGATGACTCAAGTGGAAGATAAGAGAAGTAATGAGGCATTAAAATGCTGCTAGAATAATCAACATGAAATTTATCTTGCTTTAGCACAAAATGCAGAAGCATTTGTGTTCACCATGAATTCCTGTGTTAATGGATTATATCAGGCAGATATAGTTCCACTATTGGAACTTTTGGGTTAACTGGACCAAAGCAGCTTGCTCATGTCTCCAATTTACAATGCCGGCCCAAAAAGGAGCACTGTGCAAAGCCATTTCAAGAACTCATGAACTAGTGCAGTGTTTTTCAATTATTTTCCAACATGTCCCTCTTAGGGAACATACAGGCAGGGTTAAATAGGCAGCATGTCAAAAAGTCCGAGCATTGCTGCCAGCTAGTGACTGGGGGTGGTTTAGCTTTCCAGCTGTTTCAGTGCTGTGGAGAATGGAAGCCAGATTGAAACTGATCGTAGATATTATTGGTGATGAGGTGGTTGTGAAGTTGAGAGGCAACAGATTTTTCAAGAACTTTGGAGATGAAGGGTAGATTGAAATAGAAAGTAGGTTATTGAGATTTGTGGGGTCTAGGCCAGGTTTCTTCAGAAGAGGTGTAACTATTGCAGTTTTGAAGGTTGGAGGGACAATTCTAGAGCTTAGGGAGCGATGAATAATATTGGTTATGGGAGGAGAGAGAGAAGAGAGGCAGGTTTTTAACAAGAACTGTAGGGAGTGGATCGAGCGGACAGGTGGAAGGTTTGGATTTGAGGATAAGTTCATGCCTAATGTTGCACTAAGTAACATTCATAAAAGCACCCGTATTGTAAAGTGTCATTTCTAAACCCCCCACAATGTGACTTTATGGCCTCCCACAGGGCGGCATAAAAACGGCGCCTCTTCTGGCCACTGAACGTCACTTTACATCATCCAGCCGCTCTCCACACACCCCAAATGGATGAAATTACAGTGTACTTTGAGAGAATAAAACTTATTTAATGTTATTGATGTCTATAGATGCCCTTTGATGCGAATCAGTGACATCACTCACTGCCAAAATGGTTGCAATAAGCTGACATCACAAAGTCCTGAAAGGGCCGAATTTGTTTGGAGACAGAACGTTTGAGAGAACCGAGTCCCTTTCAAACTCTTATGGTGGAAACAACACTGCACATAGATATTTAATTCTCACCTCCATATGGTGGTTTGCTCTTGGACGTGAGGATAACAAAACCAAAGCCTTCATTCTCCCTGCGGTGAAGCGTGATGTCAAAAGACTCATGGTCTAGTGCGCTGGGCATCGGCAGGCGAGGTAGCTTCGGAGAACCGTTCACCAGCACAGGAGCCATCTCTTGAACATCTTCATCCACTGCATCTGATTAAAAAGGATACACATTTCTTTGTGTTTTGTGTAATAATATCAGCACTTGATTATTTTTGAGGTTTCCCTTTCAGGAGAATTGTTATGATTATTGGTTTACTTAAAGACAAATGAACAGAAACAACAAACTGTTAAATGACTAATTGAGGTCTAGTAGTGCGGTGTTGGTAGAAAAGGAACTACTCAAACTCACCGAAAAAACTGACCAGAAAGTTCTGGACTTTCCCCAAAGAGTAAAATACACTTAAAAATCATTCAAGCCCTAGGCTTTATCTAACACCAGAAACTAAGTGCCAAGGAGTGTTTGTCTTGTTACTCACCTCTGTAGGCGATCTTCCGACGAACAGTCAACATGACTTGACCATTACGGGCAGCATTGGTCATCAGGTCCAAGACCTGCTTGTGAGAACGACCTTTGACCATCACACCATCAATGCCAATAAGCTCGTCTCCCGCCCTAAGACGTCCGTCCTTCTCCGCAGCTCCATTGGGCACAATGGCCCCAATGTAAACCTGGGGAAATACATTCTAACATGGGGTTAGCACAAAGGCAGCGGGCTGAGTGAATAGCTGTAATGAGATCATATGGTCTCTTTATCAGTCAGCATGTTTATTTCCATAACGATACACACATATCTAATTATTATGGGTGGTATTGTTTTCATTTGGTTGTAAAGGAGTGGAATACTTGTTTACTCAATACATTTGCAGTGGTCTCTAGTAGGAATGAATGCCTTGAAGGTCATACTGGGGGGGGGGGGGGGGCATCACCTCCAGGAACTAGAAGTGAGCCACATCACAGCTGAGCTTCAGACAGCAGGATGTGGAGTCTTATTTCTTGATATTTGGACATCTCACCTTGGATTGGATAACAGCAGTGTGACTCTACCACTGGCTTGCAACGTTGATTTTTTTATCTCCACAAATAACACAAACTTGAAGAAGTTCTGCCATGTCCTGGGCGACGGTGGCACAGGAGTTAAGTGCTCGCCCCGTAATCGGAAGGTTGCAGGTTCGAGCTCCGCTCAGTCGGTCACTGTCGTTGTGTCCTTGGGCAAGACACTTAACCCACCTTGCCTACTGGTGGTGGTCGGAGGGACCGGTGACGCCAGTGCTCGGCAGCCTCGCCTCTGTCAGTGCGCCCCATGGCAGCTGTGGTTACATCGTAGCTCATCCCCACCAGTGTGTGAATGTGTGTGTGAATGGGTGAATGACTGATTGTGTTGTAAAGTGCCTTGGGGGGTTCCATGACTCTAGAAGGCGCTATATCAAATACAGGCCATTTACCATTTTTACCATGTGGAGTTGCTAATGCTAACATTTAGCTTCCACTAGCCCAGACATTCTCTGCTGTTTCCTGGACGCTAAACCAACAACAGCATTCCCCGTTGTGAGGAAAAATGGGTGAGTCCATGAATGTTAAGTGACAGTGTGACGAAGATCTGTCAGGATTTTATCATTCTAGAGTTTCACCATCTATTTTCTATCAGAAGCTAATGCAGGAGATAGATGTAGGAGACTGGTTTCATGTTCAGCCTGCATTAAAAACTCAGAGTCACCCATTTGAATCAGAAAAAATGGGTTTTCAGTGTTTCTTTCAAATCCATACTTCAGCACCTAGAATTGGAACTGTTTCACAGCAGAACGTTTTGACATTTGGGTGTGGCGGCACCTTTAAATGGGAGTATTTGCTTAGTCATAGGACTGAAATGTTGTTTTTACAGTCATCACACCCTCTTTGCCCTTTAAGTATCCACCCTGTGACTAAAAAATACTTGTTTTTGGAGCGGAGAAATTGAATTGTTATAAATAAACAATTATTTCCTGGTCTTTTGTACAAATACAAACTTTGAGTTTTCTCTGTGGCATTGGACTCCAACAGGTTGGTGTTCTAAACTTACTGGCTGCTGTGGACCTTCTCCTCCCAGAACACGAAAGCCAAAGCCCGTTTCAATGTCTCTCTTCAGAAAAACATCTATGTCTTTGGTGTGAGGCTCTGCGGGTGAGAAATTTTTTACCACACTTGTGTTTTTAACAAAACATCCATCTTTAAAGTGAAACAAAAGGTTAAAAGATGCAGTGTAGTGATGGGAGCCTACACTTACGTCTGCTCTCCAGCAAGGCTTTTGACTTTAGGTACATCTCTGTGATGTCTCTCTTCGGGGAGTCAGAGGATCGTAGGGTGTTGGTGTTGGAGTGGTAAGGCAAGGCCTGGGGCGTTGCATCTGTGATGGTGTCCAAAGTCTCTGTGCTCGCCGTCATTTCTTGTCGCTGAAAATAAACAGGCGCCATTACACCGTGTTGCTTTGTGCTTCACTATGCCAGAAAAGGACATGTTCTGTCATGCAGCCTAATTTTCATAATAAATCTCACACTTGAATGAACAGCAAATGTGTACTTAAAGTCTCACACACTCGTTTTCTCAGACAAGTGACTGAATAGTGATGCTAGATAAAAGCATGAAAGGTCATTTCACTAGTTGCTTTAATAACCTGCTGTATTCGTGTGCATTTCTCTTATCGTATTGGGGACTGAGTGATTTTTGACGCAACATAACATTTCGAGACAGAATGTAAAGATTTCCCAAAAGACTGTGATAGCCCTCCTCAGGCGGAAAGGGCATCCTCTTCATCTGGAAGTATTATATTAATAATAGCGCCGTATCTAAAGAGACTCATCCAATCCTCATTACTACTGCAATCCCCAGACAATAGCCCAGAGAGTATGAATGGTGAAAGGAAGTAATTAAGACTGTTTTTGAGAGCTAACAAAAGAAGGCGGTGAGAAAGATAATCAATATTTAAATTTATTGCTATCATTTAATTTGATGCAATGGAGGCTTATTGGTTAAGCTGGAGGACTAAAATGGTTTGAAACTGAATGGGAGGACACATCCCCGCAGGGAAACGGTAACCGAGAAAGAAGGAAAGACACATTTTTACTCACAGGCTTTAGTGACTTGACGGGGGATGTCTGACCTATGGTTTCACAAAGACAGAGGAAAGGAATATTGTTAAAAAGGGTGGCCAGGTTTTGAGAAAAACAACTGTTATTGAAGCTCCATCCACCAGGTGGCGGTGTCTCTCTGGCTAATGCACACAAGTGAGTATTAAATTTAAGCCAGTGAGCTGCACAAAACTCAGTAAAGAAGGCTCCATTAGGGCACATCCATCCATTCGTGAGATTAAACACACATATAGAATATGAGATGAGTTTGTACAGCAACCCGACTGCAGTGTAGAACGCAGGTGAGGACGTTGAAGATTCATGCACATAATTCCAGGGCTAATAAATCTCTCAGCACTCTCTGTTAGCTGTACACCACACCCACACGTTCCATCTCAAGCACTCACATATTTCCCTATAGATCATCTCACATAGCCCCATCCTTTCTCTCCTTCCTCCTCAACTTCCAGCATTAATTTAATTAACAAATCCTCCTCTGGAGCTTGCTGCCCCGCGGGCTCGGACTAACACTTGGACTTATGAGAGGTTAATGGAGCCTGATGCATTGTAAAAGCTGCGATACTGCCACATTTTTTATGCTTCAATGTGAGATTCATAGCTCGGCTTAGTTGTCACCAAAGGCTTGAAAAGAGGATTCTGCTGCACACCTGAAACACCCCCCAGCCACACAGTGTGATACTTCACAATGCACACTTAAATAGGCAGCGTCTCCAAGTGGAATGCCATTGACTAATGACGGGTTAAAGCTGGCATTAACTGTTCAAGCTGTGCAGACTGGATAATGCCCTGAAAGTGGAGCCATGCAATATGCCAGTGGAGCAGGACATGGCAATAATGACACAGCGTCAAATGTAGAAGATGGTTCAGGCGTGGCTAGAGGAAGGAAGCCCCAGAGGACCTTCCCTCAATGGCTGTTTAACCGTGGATATTTTAGAGGCCGCGGATAAAGAGGCATGCAGAAATCCCACACGCTCTACTGATGATCAAAGCCAATCTGGGGTTCATCGACTTGCTCAGTCAGTCCCTTCAGGCAGCTTGAGATGGAAGGAGGAAACATTTGAAGACTGCCTTGCATCCTCCCTCCACTCCTTGGAATCTAGCACATCCTTGCTCTTATGTAATTCTCTCACTCGTACTTGTAGCAGAGAGCATTACGCCTCATTGGGAGTTGTCATAAACAGAGGTGGTTTGAGGAGAGAAATGGAAACAGATCATTTCAGAAGAGCTTGGGATGCTTAGCAAGAAGCTGAAAGTGATGGCGAGAACCGAAACTCCAACAGACTGGATCTGATCATCGTCTGCGGTGACAACTGTGGTGAATTCAGACATATTCAACAGTCTCTACTAGTTTGGTGACTTTACACAAGCTGCATACATGGTGGCATTAGTGCTCCTAGACCAGCTTAATCTCCACCTCACCTCCCATCAGTATCACCACTCTGACCTCAACGCCAATGGACACTGTTGAACATGCATTGACAGGATAATAAATGATGTAAACACAAGATGGGGACAATAAGAGGGAAAAGAAAAATAAACAGAAAAAAGGAAAGAATGGCATGGACAACAAAGCCAATTTATAAAAATGCATGAAGGCAGAAGTTTGGACAGTCGCTCACCTCCTCTCAGAACTAGAACGTCAACCTCACTGCCAACTGAGAAGTCTTTAAGGATGTCCACCACTTGTGCATGACTAAGTGTTTGGACGTTCTGCCGGTTGATCTCCTTGATTACATCTCCCTTTTGCAGCCTGCGGCACCACTGAGCATCCAGGATCATCTTTACTTTCTGGCCAAGAGGGCAGTCAGCAATGGCAAACCCAAATCCTCCAGGACCCTTGACCAACGGTACGCTTACCAGCTCAGGCTGGAGCATTCCTGAGGCCAGATCGCATTCCTCAGGTTGCCTCCCATTCGGTAAGGCAGCCACCATCGGCCGCCCACTGGCATCGGTAGTAACATAGTGGAGCTCCTGAGAGGAGCCATGGAGGACGTCACCTTTCACCAATAGTGGCTGCCCATTGATGAGCGGAACGGCCGTCACGACTTCCCCACCTTGCAGCGCCTGCTGCGGCTCAGTGGTTGGTGGAGGAGGAGGAGGGGGTAGAGGGTCGTCGCTGTCTAAATCCACATCAGGAGGAAGAGGGTACCCACGGCAAAGAACCAAGTCCACGTACTGATTGACGGGAATCGATTGAAACATCTTCACCACCTCTGGGTGCGTCTTCCCCAGCACACAGTTGCCGTTAATTTCAACAATCACATCACCTGAGGCAAATGGAGAAAAGAAAGCATCTGAGAAAATTGTTGCTTTTTTCACATTTTATCTGAAATCTTCTTTTCCTTCTTATTTTCAAGCAAACATCTTATTGCGTAAACAACTCAAGGTGTCTCTAGCACCAAAATAGCTCAAGTGAGTACAACAAACGTCAAACACACATAACGCATTTGTACAATTTAACTAATATCTCAGAAATCAGCTGTTACACACTCCCAAATCTTTGCAGTAGCTGAAAAAACGGTGTTTGTGTGCATCCCTGTTCCAGCGGTATTGAAAGTTTTGCTCACCAGATGACATCTTCTTGTCGTGGGCAGCAGGACCGTCACTGAGCACATTCTTCACCTGCAGAAACTCATCCGTACGGTCCCCTCCTATGATGGTAAATCCAAAACCCTGAGCGCTTTTCTTCAGAGCTGTGTGGTACATATCCCCCTTCAGCTGGCTCGGGTCTGAAGTGAAGCCAAGCGAGCCTCCTTTACCTGAGCACAAAGTCCACATTTCATAATTTGTAAAGCGTGCTTGTTTGTTTGTGCTACATTCTTCATAAAGGCTTTTAGTTGAAAAGAAAGTGTGAGCAAATGACAGGTTGTATGAAACTGATGCACCACATCAAACTCAGCAACAAAGATTAGCAATATGACAACCATGCTGAAAGACTGTAAAATCAGAGCATGCCTGGGCTGAACTATAATTATACACATTATCAGCTGAAAATCAACATATTAATTAGCTATTTTCTCATTAACAAGCGAGACGTATACTTAAACCCTTTAAACCCATCAACACAAACCTTTCTGAGCAACCCGGTTGAGATGGGAGCCCAAACACAAAGATAAAATGATAAAATTATAGCTTTAAACGCTAATTTACGTGCATCAAACAATTAGAAAATGAGCAGGACTGGCATACACCACCTCCGACAGTATCTAATTTAGCCCATTGTCTGTTTGTCCCTTCAGCTGTTTAACAAAGCACAGAGAAAAGGTGCTTTTGAGGACTGTCATAATCATAGGCTTTTTATATTCTAGGCAAGGAGCAAGTAGAGGTCAGCGGCAGCATTAATATGGACCAGCAGCCTGGCTGGGGCATAGGCAATACACAAGATAACCAACTCTCAGGGTTGCACTTAAATGGAGGAGCGTCCGTATCTGGCGGTCCTGTGCTATCAGCACTTTAGATCATGGCCACGTACGTAGCTGCCTGATGGTCTGTGGCCTGGCCGGCTTTATAGCTGCAGCTCAAAAACAGTAAACCTGGGTAAATGGTGTATGTGGTGCAGTCCTGCTGCGATGCTTCGTTGTGAAAACGGTGCTGCCAGTGCTTCTAAATTGTTGAAGATTTAAATAATAAAACAAAAAAGTGAAAAACTGAAATGATGCCTAAAATGTGTTTGCAACCTTCGTTCTGCAAACATCCTGATGTGTTCGGCGCTGTGTGTTCATTTTTGCTGTTTGTAACACCGGCTCAAGGTAAGACAGGGGGCGCGGGTGCAGCCTGTGTCACTCAGTCCAGCTCCTCCAAGAAGAAGCCGACTCCGATCGGCTCTAAGAGCCGGTTCGTGTGCGACCAACACATCACTGGTGTGGCCGTCAGAAAGCCTGCCAGTGCTGTGTTTCATTCAACCACATTGTAGTAACGCACCGCTCTACATGGCCAGTAACGGTGTTGTAACAATGGGAAAAGTAATGAATTTGATTGCCGTTACTCCCAACACTGGTTAGTAATTACTTCATCAAAAAATAACTGCGTTAGTAACTGAGGTACAGGTAATCATTAATTCAACTTTAAAGGTGAAACTAATGTATGGGATGGACTCATTCCGTAAAAAGCCAGATATTTCTGCCTTTATTTGTTTTAATTGTGATGGTTGTGGTTCACAGCTTATAAAACCCCACATTCAAATTCTGACCATTAGAATATTGTGAAACGGTGTTACACTCTAATCGGCTAATGAATCCACGAATGATGGTCTCTCAGTCTAAGCTGAATTACTGACATAAACGGACTCTAGAACCGGCACAAATATCATCGAGGACTTACTTTTCTAACTCGGGTCAGACCTGGAAGTGCTGAAGCATGGGTGGTAAAGGTGCACAGTTAGTTTAGTAACACCTGAGTTCCCATGATGTATTCTGACAACAGGACTAGAAAAATATCTGGAAGGAAGACTAACTGGTTCCAACTGGTTGACCGAAGAAAGATCCAGGATGACTGGAGATCAAGACGAGGAATGGATGAACTGACGTCCAAGCGGTGAACAGATGAGTGGATCTTCCTTATGAGAAGTCCTGTGGTCACATCATGAAGAGTAAGTCTGCAGACCCGCCTGTAACAGTGAATCTGCGGTGTCTGACGTCTTCTTCGTTGCTCACTGGCTGTGATGTGCTTGGATGAAAACATCTGCCCCTTTAGCTCCTGGTCAGATGATGACAGCTTCAACAGATCTTACTGCTGAATTAAAGTATTGCGTTGCGATTTCTTATCAGCAACAGAAAAATCAAATTTATTTATGAAGTGCTTTCATACAAGTGCAGCTCAAAGCGTTTTCCAATATTAAAAACAACCACACGGCAGTTGGTTTCCCACCCCTCCCACACAGGTTAACATCCAAGGAGAAAAAGGATTACAATGACAGAGAAAGTAATTACCGTAATTAGATTACACCTTACTGAAAAAAAAATCTTTCATTAGTAACTTAGTTATTTTAAACGCCGTTATTCCCATCACTGCCGGAGATGTTTCAGACACGAGCCGCCAGCGGTATAAATGACCGTATCTGATCCACACTGGGTGTAAATGAAGCTTTAGACTGACTCGGTTAGTGGTGGTTATTATCACCCATCCAGCCTATGAACTGTTCACCCTCCTTCTCTCGGGCAGGAGATTGAGCAGTCTCAACATTCAAACTAAAAATGATTGATTTTAATAAAACTGAAAAAGCACAGAACAAATACTTTTATGTGTCTTTTAGTATCTGCAGCTTTAAATTGCTGCTTCACCACCAAACAACTGCAGTTCTGTTGGAAAGAAAGCTTCATTTAGTATCTGGCTTCAGTTTGTCTTTTTTATGACCTGCACTTCCAACTGCATTGTGCTTTCCCCTATTTAGTTTTTAACATAGCAACAGCTTTAAAAAAACAACCCTGCAAAACTCCACACTTACATCAGTTTCTCTTAGTTTATAAAAACTCCATAACTTTCAGAGTGTGAGAGGAATTTAAACGCATCCACTCAAAATCTCATATGGTTCTCCAACAATAGACATCCACCACCGAATGGCTGCGAGTGCGAATTATCACAGTCGGTGTGGACTCCAGATGTCCGTGCTTTTTGTGTTGATCAAGCATAGCTTATTTACATAATTGTATTCAAATTTCTTGATAAACTCAACATGGGATGTTTTCCATTCTCCGGTGAGCGCTAAAATAACATTTTGACAGCGACACTAAAAAAGGAGGGAAAAGAAGGTGACAAAGAAGGAGGATGTGAGTGCAGGCCTGAACTTGCAAAGGTAAGTTCAAAGATGGTCTGATGTGACGTGTTGGAAACCAGAGGAAGGAAAAAGTTCAATCCGCCAAGTAAGGCAGCCGTGGAATTTGACTTCTCTTGAATCACTAAAGAATTTCACTTGATTTCACTCAGGATAATTCGGAAAAGGTATTTCTTCCTGGATCACAACATCATCAAATTGGTCCATGGTTACAGCCGTCCATCCATCCATCCATTGTCTGAACCCACTGTCATGGGTGGTTCTGTAGGTTGAATGCTTTGCAGTCATGTTTCTGGTTTTATTGTATTTCTGGTACTTCCTGTTTTATTTTGTGTATTCACTTCCTGTCTCATTACAGGCACCTTCACGACCTGAGGCTCCTCATTAATCAGCCTTATGTCTTGCACCTGTGTCCTGGCTTCTCCATTTATGCTTCTTTGCCAACAGATTCCTTTGCCAGTTTGTCTTCTTCAGTTGAGTAAAGTGAACCTGCTCTCAGTAACACTTTGTGTGAGTATTCAGTTAGTTTTGGACTTGTTCAGTTGTGCTGTACTGCCAGGAATCCCTTCAGCTTATTAAACTGTGTGAGCTCTGCATTTGAGTCCTCTTTTGTGCTTTGATAGTACAAACTGGCGAGTAATGGACTCAGCAGGCTCTGACTCAGTTTTGGGGGCCCTGGGGGCTCAGGGGAAGAGGCTCCTCCAACAGGAACAACAGATGAGCCTATTGCACCAGGAGATGGGGCAACTCAATGCTCAACAGGATCAGTTTGCTACCTCAGTCAGTGATCAACTCAGCTACCTGGTGGAGAAGGTGCAGCAGCTCCAGACCTCTTCAACCCAGCCTCCAGAGAGGGACTACTTGCCGCAGCCCCAGAGTATCGAGGTGGAGGTGACTCCTGGAACACACTCTGCACCCCTTGGCCTATCTGTTCATCTTGCTTGTCCTGAGAGGTTTTCTGGGGACTCTGGTGATTGCCAAGCATTTTTGACACAGTGTAGCCTCCACTTTGAACTTCAGCCCTTCTCTTTCCCCACGGAGAGAGCCACGATTGCCTTTCTCATCTCCCACCTTTCGGGCAGAGCCGAGGCTTGGGCCACGAGCGAGTGGAAGCGCAACTCGGACATTTGTAAGTCACTTTGATCATTTTACTAAGCGTTTCACACAGATTTTTCAGTACACCAGGCCAGGAAGGGAGGCAGCCAGAGCTCTATGTCAGCTGCAGCAGAAGAGGAGGCGTGTCACTGATTATGCAATTGAATTTCGTACTTTGGCAGCTGCATGCGACTGGAATCAATCAGCACTTTTTGATGCCTTTTTGACTGGTCTTTCCAGTGAACTCAAGGATCTGTTAGCCCCTCTGGATCTGCCAGAGGATTTGGACTCACTCACCGCTCTAGCGATCAAGATTGACAAGAGACTCACAGACCGACAAAGAGAGAGGGGTTTCGCCTTCCCTTCTCCTCCGGACCGGTGGAGGTGGGGCGCTGCTGATAGTGGCCCCAGTTGGCGTGTGTCTGCCCCTGAATTTTCTCTCAACGTGTCCTCTGCTTCACCAGCTTCATCAGAAGAGCCCATGGGGATTGGCAGAGCCCACCTTTCACCTCAGGAACGCCAGCGCCGCTTTCAGGAGGGCATCTGCCTGTATTGTGGCCAGTCGGGTCACCAAGTCAGCGACTGTCCAGTAAATAAGAAAGGACCACTAAGGAAGTTTTCTTTGGTGAGTTGCACCTCCTTTTCTAATGACTTCCAACGTGCAAGCCCCACTGACCAGCTCTCCAGTCCTGAAAAGACTGTTGAGCTGATGGTGCTCATTGACTCTGGTGCAGATGTTAACTTGATGGATGCTCAATTAGCAAGACAATTAGACTTGGAGTTTTTGCCTCTTGAAAGGCCCCTGCAGGCTGTCGCCTTGAATGGGCATCCGTTGTGCTCTGTGTCTGGTCAAACCCCACCTGTTAAAGTGACTTTCGCTGATGACCATTCTGAAATGATTAAGTTTTTTATGTCTGATTGTCCTCAAAACCCGGTCATTTTGGGTTATCCCTGGCTTGTTCGGCATAATCCTAACATAGATTGGTCCTCGGGTTCTATTTCAACTTGGAACTGCGATTGTTTACAGTCTACTCCAGGTAGTGTCCCTCCTTCCCAGGTTCTAGGGGTTCTACCAGACTGTGATTCTGACTTCCCAGATCTGTCTAGGGTTCCCTCTTGTTACCATGACCATAAGGAGGTTTTTAGCAAGTCACGGGCTATCTCTGCCCCCGCATCATCCTTATGACTGTGCCATTGACTTGCTGCCGGGAACCACGCCCCCTAAGGGTCGCCTGTACCCATTGTCCTTACCTGAAAGGCAGGCCATGAGGGATTATACTGACGCGGCTCTCCGAGCGGGCATAATTCGTGAATCTTCGTCCCCTGCTGGGGCAGGTTTTTTCTTTGTGGCTAAGAAGGACAACACTTTACATCCGTGTATCGATTACCGGGGTCTCAATGACATCACCATCAAGAACAGGTACCCCTCCCTCTGGTCTCTTTGGCTTTTGAACTCTTACAAGGTGCAATGGTTTTTACTAAGTTGATTTAAGGAATGCTTATCATCTTGTGAGAGTGAGGGAGGGGGATGAATGGAAGACTGCCTTTAATACGCCCAGTGGGCATTATGAGTACCTGGTGATGCCTTTTGGTCTCTCTAATGCTCCCGCGGTTTTTCAGGCTTTGATTAATGATGTACTTTGGGTAATTACCATTACGGTAAAAAGTCCGCTTAAGTCCCGTTAAGTCAAGCAGCTGATTCTGAGCCCGGAAGATGTTATAACGGTTACTACTGCTGGAAAATAAACATATAAGTAGAAATGAGTCCATGGACATAAGTTGGGGGGGGGGGGGGGGGGGGGGGATGTCCCCCTCACTTTTTCCAAAGTCAAGTTTTGACCCCTGCACCTTTTACCATCCAAAAACAGCTTTACTTTTTTTTTAAATTGACACTGGTTGAGCTCTAGGACCAAGCGGAAAACAACCGTTTGTGTTGAAGCCTGTTTCCCATTCGAACATACTGTAAAGATACCCCCACCCCCACCCCACCCACCCCACCCCCACCCCCGTGTCCCCTGCACTTCTAAAGTGAAAGTTACGTCCATGAATGAGTCCTTACCCTGAACGATTTGTCTCTGGACATCATGCTGGCTGGTCACTTCAGTACCAACACCCCAACTGCTGGAAAAAGTGTTCTGTTGTTGCACTACCACTTCTAAACACTAGACGTCGCTATAGTGTCCGTGTTTCACATCCAACCTTTAAGGTCGGTAGGTTGGTGTATCAGAGGGAATCTTGAACCCTATTTCCATTTCATTTCCACCATATGCAAACAGCAGTCTGGGAATGTAATTTCTTAGAAAAGTGTAAAAGTCTGCGTTGCAGCCTGAGGTGTAACCGGCGACTGGCGGTGCTTTGGTTTCATCATAGCAACAGTCTGACAGCTCAGTAGGTTGTGTAATCAGTAATCAGCAGTGAGATGGCGGTTTCCTCATTCCCTACACACCTGAGCAGAGATGTCTGATTATGCTTCGCCTCTTTAACGTGATGTTCCACCAGCTGTTGACACATGCCCCGTTAAAAGGCAGCCGCCTCCCTTACACTCCTCCTTTTAGGCTCCTGAATCCCTGCCAGCACTGCCAGCTCGTCCACCCCAGCAGCACTAATATCCATTACGCATTTGTTAAAATGAAAACACGTTTAACTCATTATGTTTTTTGCGGAGAGAGATGAATCGTCGACTCCCATCGCAGCTCGTTACTGGAGAGATGACAGAAATGTGTTTTTTATGAACACTTAGGAAGACATGGCTCACTGTAACAATCCATTATTGTTTGAGTGTTCTTGAAGGCTGACACATTCAGCTGACCTTGCATAAACTGATGATATTTCCTATGCTTTCTCTTCCTGGAAAACATATTCATCAAAGCAGGCTGACAGAGGAGCTGCCCTCTAAACAGAGCTAAAGCTGAGCTAATTACATTTCTTTCATATTTTACTCAATTAGTGGATTCTGAGTGTACAAAATGATTAAAAGTGAAAATAAAAGGGAGTTAGCACATGGAAAACGACCACAAAAAAGGCCAGAATTACGTCAATCGGTTCTTAATACTGGAGAGGGAAGACCTAATCTAAGTAGAAATAATAAATAAGCAGCATTGTCATTTTACATGACTCAAGTCCAACAGGAATTTCTTGTTTTATTCCCTAATAAGGCAGACAATGACAGTCCATGTCAGAAAGTTGCCAAAGTAATTATGGTGCATGAATGTGCAAGTCTCTTAAACCTGAGGGTGTTGTCAAAACTCTCCAGTTAGGGTGCAACAAGACGTTATCAAAGGTGCCAAACTTATTATGGTGCTGCAGCAAACCAAGGACCCCTAGAAAAGAGATTAGAAACCTCAAGAGTTATTCTTTATCATCTGGGGAGAAAGAAAAGCTCTACAATGCCCGATTTGCAGGTTTTCAAAGGTGCAGTTTTTTTTTGTGTCCTTCAGCTTTGTCTTTGGCAATTCTAATAAGCAGTGGTGGGTGTCATTTGGGTTCAACACTGTAGTTAAATTATGAATATAGTTTCTAGGACATGCTAGATGGGAGCCCTCAAAGCCTAATGCTGCTACATCACATCTAATGAGTCATATTAGTATAAAACTGCAGATGGCAGAATACTGAAATGTGTATTCTGTGTACTTTTTCACCATGTGAAAGCTGAATTAATAAAACCCTAATGATCTAGTGCCAGACACCGATAAACATCAAAGTTTAATTGCTTCTTACATGAATCACGTCCAACCTATTTGTTTCTCTGTTTTTGCTAGCAGATAGAAACACAACTGTACCTAGTCAGCGGGACAGAGGATAAAACACTAAAGCCAAGGCAATGTATTTATGGCTGTCATTGATTCTGTTACCAGCTAACACATAAAGCAGTGTACTAAAAGAAACTTTATGCATTAATTATTAGACTTAGTTGAACTAGTTTTTAGTGTGAATAGTATACATCTGGCTTTTAAAGGATGGTATTTTGACGATGTAATTGGCTGAACGTGATTTATGAGCTTTAGATTTAAGGCAAATTTGGCCATTTAACCTGTTTCTTTGTTTTGTAAAATGATAGACCTACAATACCAGTGTTTAAAAGTCAGGAATATTCTGTGGCATCTAAACTCTTGAGTTACAAGTGGGTGTCCCTTTTTCAGTACTTTATCCCACTGTACCCCTTATCTCACACTTTTTTCATATATAAACTAGGAGAGAGAAATTAATGCGTTAATTATGATGAATTAATAAGAAATAAATTACGCATTAGGCATTTACCTATTGAGCCATATGAACTTTATTACAGCAGGAGGGACAAGCAAACACACTGCATTAATGTTGTAACCCTCAGCAGAACTTCCCCTGAACTCTACACTACACCTCAATATATTTTATCAATGCTCTGTTGCCACCTAGTGGCCAGTGCAGTACATAACATTTTCAAAGTTCCATGTCTATTTACACTTCATCAATAATACATACATATAATAAGACCAAAGAAATCATTGTGGTTACAGATATGTGCTTGTTAAAGGAGTGGGACACTCGTTTTATCAATACATCTGCGGTGATCTCTGTTTTCATGTTCTGCCTGCCTGAAAAACTCAGAATGTCTGATTATAATCAGAAATAATTATTACAAAATTGTTTTAGGTATGTGCGGGTATGTCTTGTGTTCCTCAATTAATTTTTTTTCAATGAAAACAAATAGCTTGGCTGCAAGTTGTCTCAAATGATTAAAAGGTGATTAATCGAAATTCATTCATTACAAAGCTTCTAAATAATTTGATTAATTTTTTAATCGAGTCTCTTCCTAATATAAACACTTTCCCTCACAAAACATCTCCTACAACCACAAAATTAAAGACAATTTTGCTAAATTTTGCTTTCATTGAAACCTTTAATGTTTCTTGTGCACTTCAGCACAAAGTGATGCTCAAAAATGTGCAAAATGAGTTCAGATAAAATTCAAGTTGCTCAGACAACTTTGCTGGTGCTATTGTTACCTCGAGAAGGTGCTGCTGCTGCAGCTTGCTGGATTGCAGCAGTCTCCTGGCTCAGCTTCTTCTTTGCCTCCAAGACAGGATTCTCAAACTGGGTTTTCTGATTGATGTGGCTGAAAAGAAAACAGGCTCAGCTTTAAGAAGGCAGACTCTGAATCCAAAAGATGAAGCACAGACATCCTAACTAGTCTGACACCCTGATATTTACTAAATTACACACAATGTGTGGAAAATTCAATAAAAACGAATGAGAGAAAGATCATTTTGATTTTCTTTTAAAGATTTGTACACACACACACACACACACACACACACACACACACACACACACACACACACACACACACACACACACACACACACACACACACACAGTAAAGGCTATCTTGTATCCTATTTACTACTTTGGCTTTTAGCGATCTGATTTTGCAGGAAATGAAGGCCCGACTGCCAGAAACACCCTGTTCCTCTACAACAAGGTAAACAGCTTGTTGTCCCCCCGGCATACAAACCAAGGCCATTGTTTCTGAGGGAGCTCATTTCAAACTAAACACTGGCAGCTACAAGCTCCATCAATATGCTATTGACTCTCCTCGTCCAAACAGTGCAAGCTTCCCCTCTCGTGTCTCTTCTACCTGGGAGGTTTTCATCTGTGGTCTGAGCAATAAAACAACACGAGCTCTCCCATTTCAGTTTCATCACAACAACAGGCTGGCACTCCTTCCATCCCTCGCTCTGCTCTTTCCATGTGCTCTAGTTAAGATTCTCCCCATTTCTCTCTATTGCTGATAGAATGGCTGCTTCACTCATGTCCTGCTGTGGGTGGGCACAAAAGCGCACGGCGTGCATACAAACAACACACAGATGAACTGGTTGACACAGAAGTCAGTAAGGGTACGGCCCGTGTAGTGTTTCGTTTTGCCACCAACAGTTAAACAATGAGGTGTGTTACATAAATTACAAAACAAATCGTTTGATGAATATTTTAAAGTTTCTGATAAATTGTAATGCTTATATTTGTCAGATCATTTATGGAGAGACAGAGAGTTGGATGTGTAATGGCACACACACACACACACACACACACACACACACACACACACACACACACACAAAAAACCTGGAAACTAGATGTATTGTTCAAACTTACTCAACATAGTATGTCCCATATTGTGGGTCATCGATTTCCTCCCAGCCGTACGGGAGCTCTGGAGAAAAAAGATAATATGTCACTGAGTTGTGAAAAGATGCAACTAACAATCCGAAGGGAGGAAAGGAGGATAAAAAGGCAAAATACTTATAGGAAACTACACTCCAAAAAGGAAATGCTGAGTTTACTTATCCGAGTTATGTCAACAGGTTCCACTAAACCTAGTTGTTTAAATAAATAGTAATATGCATATACTTTTAACTAGGGGTGGAGCCCAATAAGAGGCACACACACACACACACACACACACACACACACACACACACACACACACACACACACACACACACACACACACACACACACACACACACACACACATCTAAGTACAATTTCTGTTTGATTACTTTGGTGTCATTATAAAGGAAACCATAGCTGGGGTCTGTAAATATTAGTATACTGGTGTTATTGATGAAGCATCATGGAACATTGTACATGTGTGTACAGAACTGAACACTAGGTGGCAGCAGAGCACTGATAAAATATGTAGAGGTGTAGAGTTCAGGGGAAGTTCTGCTGAGGGTTACAAGATGAATATGTGTGTTTGTCCCTCCTACTGTAATAAAGTTCATCTGGAGAAAGTTACTGATTTTCTGCTTTCTACCATCAGAACCATAAAAAGTAGTTTTTTCTTTTCCTATTCTTCATGAACAGTGATTTGTTATGATACATTTAATTATAATTTTAGTTGTTTGGAGCATGTAAACACAGTTTATATAGTCTTGTAGCCCGGGCTCTGCTGTTTTGTTGGAGGTACAGCTTGATGACCCTTTGATGCTAAACTTCTCTGCCCCCCAAATGGGGGGCTCTTATGATCAAGGGGTAACTATTCAACACATAATTAATGTGTAAAATGTCCACTCCTACTTTTAACACACCAGCATATAAAAATGTAAATGACTCTTCACCTTTAAGCAACTCGGTTTATTTGAACCAGCTGACATAATATGGGTAAGTAAACTCAATATTTCATTTCTAGAATATATAACCTACTGTATTACGTAAACACATTATGATTTATACTTATTTGTACCTTTTTTTACTTGTAGTTTTGTGTTCCATTTAGGAATTCTAACTGAATAAAGATGTGTATGGCACCGTCTTGTGGTTTTCCACTAAGCCGGTTGACTGGAATGGATCAAAATATCAGGCAGAAGGAAGAAAGAGAGAGAGAAAAACGAGCTCTTAACGCAAGAGAGAGCTTTGGAGTTGCCTTTCAGAGGCTTCAAGTAGCTTTCTGTTGTAAAAATCCATTAAAACCAGGTTGAAGGGGGCCACTCTTTGTTTCTGGCCACTCTTAAGAACGCATTATCTTCCTGGAGATACAGAGACACGTCTGAAATTCCTTTAAGCAGACCCCCAGCTTCAGAACGCTGAAAATTTAGGCCATGACACGTTGATACCGAGGGTGACTTTTAGGTCATGTTGAAACTCCAAATCCAAACCGAACACTTTAAGGCAGATGGATGTGAAGTGATGGATTGTATGTTGTAGGTACGTACCGCCATCCTCGCACTTCTCTGGAGGCTTTGCTTTCTTTGCCAAGCGGGGGTCCAGCCATGTGGTTGTCTTGGTATTGTGGCTGCAAAGCACAGAATATGAAAAATACTAAGACACAAAAACCAGAAACAGCAGGGAAACTGATGCTGAAGGAAAAGATGTGACCAGAAGCATGAACTGCAATCTAAAAAAAAAAAAAAAAAACTCTGCAGCTTTACTCCTCTGTACAGTTTGCTCTTGTGGACCAATGAGTGGTTTCTTCATTTCATTGTAGCTAGGTGGCCTTTTCAGAGAGAACAAAACCATCTGAAGGTGAAACATGACTCATTTATCCTTAAACATATCAAGCCATGGAAGAAAATCAAAATTGTCCTCTGGTATCTTCCAAGAAACTCAAATAAGAGCAATATTTAAAATATGCTGTTGTGTTAAAGGAAAAACTAAATCACTTGCAGTTCAGAGACAATTTACTGGAGAGCTGTGCTGTTTCTGAAAAACCTAATGTATAAATATCTGTCATCAAGTTAGAGAAATTGTGTGTAATTTACCCAGATCACTTTTTTCCACCCCTCTTTTTGAGCACGTGATTAAGCTGTTAAAGCTGCAACGATCAGTGACGTGACTTGAAGAACAAATAAACATCTTAGCTCAGCGACGCTCAAACCTGATAACACACCGAGCCGGTGCCGACAGAGACTCCTGTCGGTGAAGCGACGTCTAACAAAGATGCAAAACAATCGAATGCTTAACCAGATCAAACACAGACGCAAATGCTTTTGTTTGAGATCTGTTACTACACAACCGACTCCCCCTGAAGTTGTGCAATGACGTAATTGACACCAGTTACAGAGAATTAGGTTGTCAGCTGCTCTGAATTTCACCTGAACCAATTAAAAAATAGATCAAACATTCATCATGCGGATTTTACCTCTGTTCTGATTGGACCGAAATAAACATGACTGGATGCAAAAAGTCCCAAAATAGTGTTTGAGGTAATCGTGCCTTACCATCATTGTGAACAGGAAGTGAAACCCTAGACGTCATCAAGCAAGATTCCCAAAACTTTATTTACAAAGTCACTCTGTTTACTGTTGCAGCAGTGGCCCCTAAGAGCTAAAAGTAAATACAATATAATCTAATGTAATCTAATGTAATCTAATGTAATCTAAAGTAATATAATATAATATAATATAATATAATATAATATAATATAATATAATATCGTATCATATCATATAATTTTTCTTAAGTTATAATGGTTCTGTGTTTGCTATAAAATATGTTTTATGAAGTTCTGTGCTTCAAATCCCTCTCCCATGAAGCCATTTCAGTCATTTTGATCTTGACTGCTTAAGTACCTTCCAGAATGAGCCGCTTCAGGGCTGTCTCACTTTAACGCTTAAATAGCAAAGCTAGCTTTTAAATGCAAACACCGTCACAGAACACCATTGGCGATAGGACACACCTGCCAAAAACAGAAACCTACATTGCTAGAGGAAACAAGAGAGTGCTAAACACCAGTCCCTTAACCAGAGTTTGGTTGTCCGTGACTTTAAACAGTGTTTTTCTTTTTAGGATTTTGGTAGTTTGTCCTAAAGTTGAAGAGGTAGCAGCCGGTTGTTTCTCCTTCTCTGGTATTATTGAGCTGCGAACCTCTCACACCAGTGGAGTTTTGTTACGAGTGCGAAACAAGTGGAGGAACCAGAACAAAACAGACAAATGTGGAAGAGCGGCAGTTCGGCAAGGCAGGCACTGTCCAATCATTGGTTTAGGTCACAGCCATGTTATTGGCAGAGGTTTTGAGACAAATGCAGGAAAACAACTTCATTCTTTTTTTGTTTTGTTTTGTTTTTTAATCTCCACAAAATATTTATAGCTATACTATAAATACTTGTTAAGAGGCATGACCAAAATATTTAAGGTAGCTTGTTTACCAGATTTGCTACTGTAGCTTTAAGAAAACAAGCTGCAGCTGGATATGCGCACCTATCCATCACTCAGGCTGCTATAGCCTGAAAAGCTCCAACATCTGGGAGGGGCTTGGAGTAGAGCTGCTCCTCCTCCAGCAGCAGCTGTCTTTTGCACATGATAATTGATTTTATTCTTTTCCCGTTTTTGATGTCACAAATGGGGACTTGTTAAAAAGGCTTATTTTAGCACACATAATTTTTAAAACCGGACAACGACAAAAAAAAAAAAACTGCAGGACTGATTTTTTTTAACGTTCAGAGTTTTTATAGAGGCAGTAGAGACCCACATGGCTGCACAAAAGGATGCAAAAGCTGAGTTTAGCATAATATGTCCCTTTTAAATGTCTTATAATGAAATTACTCTGTATGCACTTTCTTTTAAATCAAGAACGATTAAAAGAAAGTTATTTTAGCAGGGAAGGGCATCTTAAGCCTTTCCTCACTTACTCTATGAAGTAGACCATGCCGGTCTCGGTGTAAGCCATCTCCCAGTTCAGAGGCAGAGGTTCCAGGCTGTCATCGCGAGGAAGAGAGCTCCATGTGCGAAAGTCCATGGTGCTGCTGGACTGGTTGTAGCTGGGTACCGTTTTCCGCCAGTCTTTGTGCTCTAGAGAATTTGAACAGATGGACATGATTACAATATGGTTTGGTGAACAACAAAACAGAACAGACAGTTAAAGGTTAGTCCATGAAAACACCTGGGCCCACTGCTCTTCCTGCTCGCTGCAGGGGAGCAAAGGGAGAGCTTATGTTGCTCACAGGATTTGCATGCGAGTGATGATGATGTGTGCGCATGTGTCCGCCAAAGGGCTGCTTTGCATTTTGCGAAGCACGCTGTGCTCGAGCATTTGCCTATGTGTGTATATATATGTATGTATATATATATATATATATATATATATATATATATATATATATATATATATATATATATATATATATACACATGTCTAATCACTATGAATTGAAATGATGGCGGTGAGAATCCACCCAGACAGGGCCATCTGAGCCTGGAAGCCAGGTCTATTTTAAATCCTTTAATGTCATCTCCAATATAATACGCTGCATTTGTTGATACTCCCCTTTAATGAGAAACTACTCCATAATGAACATGAAACATGTAGAGAAGGCTCGGCTAATTCACTTCGAGCTCAACGCTTTTCTTCAGAAGATGGTTTTAAAAGATGAAACAGAAAGCCTTTTCATCCTTTTCTTTTTATGAGCAGCCAACCTCCATACAATGGGGAATAATGTCAAATTATGTTTTGCAGCACGCACGCACGCACGCACGCACGCACGCACGCACGCACACACACACACACACACACACACACACACACACACACTCACACCATATTCAGGACATTTAAATAATTGTTCCACCTGACTTTTAAAGTGAGTTTAAAATGTAACATGCAGGTCTTCAGCGTCATGATGGCTTTCTCTGGTTTTCTAAACTCACTCAATTTGCCTCCCAGATCAAAAAACAAACTCTCACTCTTCATCTTCACACAGATGAAAATGTGCATGGCATGTCTGAAGGATCAGTAGTAGCTCCAGTCATGCAGACGCTTGGAGAACCAGCCTGAGGGCAAAGCCGAGAGCAGAATGGAGTTCATCAGCGAGGTTCAAAGCTGGGTGAGGGCGTACTTGACAACGGAGCTGCAGATTATAAGGACGGTCGAAGCCTCGGTTCCTGGGAGAAGTGGTGATGAAGAGTTCAGAGACCCCAAGCTCACATTTTCCATTAACCTCATTTTTCATTCGACCATAACTTTCTCCATCTACGGCTGGTCTGAGGCTGATGTTGGGACATAACAGAGTGGTCACTTTCCATAAAAACAGCTGCTGGATCATTTAGCGTTTGATTTCAATATGGTCGAGCATTTGGGCAAAGAGGCGCAGGATTTCTGTCTGACCTTTAACTGTTCAGCAACATTTTGTTAAAAAAAAGAGGAAAAAAAACATTTTCTCTTTGCTTCTGTGTTATCCTCAATCCAGGTAATCTTGGCAGGACATAACCCACTTCTGTTACAAGGTTCTTCTCCTCGAAAGCTTTAAGGGGAAGTGTACTCCTTAGAGAGATGAGGCGTTATCCTGCTTGATCTCATACACGCCAAGACTCTGTGAAGGTGACCTGTGCTACAGTAGACCGGCTACAAATGGTGACAGCACGCTGATGTGTAGCAGTCCCCTTTTAAAGAGCTTAGAGGCTAATCCCATCTCAATCTAATAAATGTATCAAATTAAACATTTGTTTTCCAAGGGTCTGATGGTGTCTTGTATGGCTGCTGTCACAAAAACCCAAAGAATGCACACGATTTCAACTATAATAAAGGAAAAACTGGGTGGTGGTGCAGAGCCAACCTAAAGGAGCAGCAAGTATTTCTATTGAATAGTAAAAATCAACTTCATTAAATAAAGACTAAACGTTTTATTTACCAAATACCGACCTTGCAGCAGATCTGTGATGTGTTTGCTGCCCTTGGTGTGTGTTTTCCAACTGCTGACCTTTTTAACTCTCATTCAAGATGGGTGCAAATAACTGCTCATATGCAGGCAGTTTTCTGTTTCCGACTGGGTTTTGTATCACATTTAGCTGAGAAAATCTCTCCTTGATTAGATGAAATTATGAAAATAAACAAAACAGCCAAATTCTCTAAATACAGAAGAACGGAAGCTAACGTGGGAGTGACAAAAACTGCAGTTCCCTCCTCATCCACTAGGGGCTGGTTCCAGAAAGGAGCCAATTCCCATTGATTCTCGGGATTCGGGGGCTACAAAGAGGGGGCCCGCGGGCCGCCTATTGAGTACTGCTGGCCTAGAGGGAAGAGGGTAGCAGAGTTTTTTTTGGCTGAAAGAACCTGCCAACCTTCGTTAGCAGCAGAAGGCTCAGTTAGCTTGTAGCTAGGGAGCCTAAGTCACTCCCATCTACTTCTGGACCATGGGTCCTCAGAAGAACAAAAAAATGAATGCAAGTCAATGAGGCTATAAAAGCTATTTTCTAATCCCATTTTTTGTGTGTCATGGCTTTCATTTATTATGTCTCTGAATTTTAATGACACAAACTGATGCTAAGAGAGCTTTTATTTTTGAGGGGGGGGGGGGGGGGGGTCATTTTAGGTTATGTGTGAAAATATGTCCAGGACTACAAATGTGCATCACCAAAGTCACATTATTGAACCAGACAGAGCAGAGGGAAAAATGACTGTAAGTTTAGCAAACTTCAAATCCTTCATCCAGGAGGAAAGAACCCCCATACATCTGGCCATGTGGTAAGTAGCAGCTATGCTGGAGGAGAGGAGATTCTGTGGTGATGTTGTAAATGTGTTGAGCCAACGTCTGGTTTGTAGTCGTACTAATTACAAATTTTTACAAGCTGATGAATCTCAAATGACAGATGTGGTCGAAACACACATCATTACTTTTTCATAAAATTGAAGTACAACACATGCGATCCCAAGCGTAAGGCAAAGAAAATGGCTCTTTTAGCCCCGTCGACTTGCATTCCATCTTCGTTCTTCCGGGCACCCATGAGCCGGCCGGAAACGGAGAAGACGTAGGCTCCCTATATCGATTCAAAGTTTGATAGAGTGTCAATCATCGGCCCCACCCTCACAGCCCAGCTCTCAGCTCCATTTTAGTGTTTTCTATGAGTGATGAGACCCGTGATGATGGCAGTGGTGGGAACCGCCCACTGAGCTTCAGTTCAGCTCTTCAGAAACCTGCAGGTGACAGCATGGAGGGGTTTTCCATGTTTTCATTGGGTGTAACTCATTTCACTGACTCCCGGACTTGTATTCAAGGTGGTTAATCAGACTTCTACATATTTATTGAAATGAACCGTTGTTAAAAAACAGAAATAATTAACCCTTTGATGCACAAATTATGAAATCTTCAACCATGATTTTTTAAATAATTTTTTTCATTCATCTTTAGGAGTGAATGAAACAAATTTCATATTTACATATTTTTTGTAACATTTAATTTACAAATAATTCATTACGTGTCCACCTCAGTGGACAGCGTGCATTCTGAACATGAAATATGTTGGCTTGACTTACTGAAGTCCAAATGCAGGGGCTAAAATGCAATAAAGTCTTAAACAGCTGTGCTTAATAGCAAAATAAATAAATAACAATTTTGAGTACCTGTCCACTGTACTGACCATTATTCATCAAAGGGTTAATCACATATTTATTTTCCTATGCTCTGTGGTAAATTTAAATTAATGGCTAAATTAAATCTTCCACAGACAAATCAGAGCTGTGCAGTGTCATCAACCACTCAAACAATCTCTAAAGTTTAAATGGATAAAAGATAAATTACATTTTATGTCTGAAATTAGCATAAATTAAACAATCAGTTTGTAAAAAATATATCTTGCAAGAAAACGATGACAAGGGCAAGCTGACCAGAGCTGAGTTTCTGCTATGTAGGATGACATTCTGTGTTTAGAAACCAACTGACCGGGCAATCCATTGACCAGAGGAGGCCTGTCATCATCCTCCTCCTCCTCAGGCACGGCGCTGTCCTTCCTATCCATCTTACTGACAGAGGTGGTGCGTTTCCTGGGAACCTCGCCACTGAAGTCTTCATCAAACAGCACTTGATCAACCAGGTCCGGCTGCACCAGGTTGGGCTCAGCGGGAGGCTTCGGGGTACCGTAGTAGTTACCTTAAGGAGAGCGAGACAGAGACAGGTTTGGGTTGTATTCTAAGCTGCTAACAGAAAAACAAACTCTAGAGGTTTTATGTTGAGTTGGAAACCATCCAGCTGTTTAAACGATGCAAAAGTCACTCATCAACACTCGCCTTAAGTTTCTGAGGACTCCTTCCTCTGACTGAAACTATTTTCATGTCTCTTAACCTTCTGCTTTGTTTTCCTCGGATAACTGCACAACACAGCTGTCATGATTCAGGTAACATTAAAATCACTTCAGTTGTAATTTTCCAGCAACTAATTTCACTGATCAGTGAATACAGCAATTATCCACCTTGGCTTGTTTTCTTTTTTCCCTCCCTGCCGAAGGAAGTCTTTGTGTTTTGGTTAAACATTCACAGCCCTCTGAAAGAGCGAGGGGAACAAAACTTAGTTAAATTATTTCATCATTTGACTCACAAGTCTAATCCATCGGTGTATGGCTGGTGATCGGTAAGGAAAAGTCAATTTAGCCTCGGAATAAGCAATTAAATCTCCATTAGGATTAGAAATAACGTGTATCCTATTTCATATCCCTACCGTTTATTGTTTATTTGTTTGCTAAATGCTGCTCTGTCAGATGTGCTTACACAAAATGATCAGATTAAAATTATTTTTGGCAATCCATTTGCGGGAAATCAAATATTAGCTCTTACAATAAGTGATCTCAGCTAAAACATGATTATAATTAGATTAATTAAAGTATAGGGAGAAAATACCACAGGGAAATAAAGATCTTCAGCAAATTAATTAGCTGCTGAAACTTGATCGTATTTCCATTTGGTCCCAGATGTGAACAGGACCATGATGTGAACCTTTGATGTGCTCGAGTGTGAAAATGCACACATACCAAACGCTGTTTTGAAGGACCAGAATTTATCAACACACGGGATCTTTTTATAGCCTGGTTAAAAAAAAGGAATGCTGACAACAGCATAAAACGCTGAGAACAGGGAGCTCAGAGGAAAACATCATATTCATTCCAGCAGCTTTACATCATGAACACTAACACCACAGCAGCTTTTCTGATAAGCCAGCCTGTCTCGGACCCGGTCTCGTCTTGGCGGGCTTGCCGACAACAATACGCAGCAAACTGGGTTAATGCAACTATTGTAGATCTCACTAAAAGCAGAGGGGAGGCTGAGGAGGAGGAGAGGGAGGGAGGCTGAATGAAAGCCTGCCCCTCCTCTCCTGATATGCAACTCTGTTCACTAAGTGACACTCATCCGCATTTGTCAAATATGGCTTCATTAACAGGCGTTGCGTAACGATAGCAAGCAGAGATTGGGTCCTCTGGCTAATCCTCTGCCTTGTCTCCTGCCACACACAGACATTCATCAGCCAGACGCTACCTCTGTGATTAATTACCTACAAACATGTGTCCTGGCCCCTGATGTGTGTGACTGATATAGAAGTGTGTGTCAGGGAAGATTTGTGGTGCCATTTGCCTTTATAAATGGTGGGAAGTCTCTAAAGCAGATGAGCTGGGAAGCTTGTCCGGTAGCTTTCTTTCTTTCTTTTTTTTTTTTTTGTGATCCTTGTGTCAACGGGTTGATGAGTCGGGAAGAGTGAGACTCCCCTTTCAGAGAGCGTACGAGCAATTTCATGGTGTCAGACTCTGCAACTCAGAATGAAAAGATTCTGTTGTCAAAGACGCCATGAATGAGCCTCACAAGGTCATGAGCCCTTTCATCTTAACTTGATCGTGAACAGACTGAGTCAACCATCCAGCGATGACCTGATGCTGCATTCACTATCAAAGCCAAGCGTTTCCTTACCTGTACGTAAGTCAGACCCATTAACACTGGGATACTAAAGCAACCGGGATGGAGTGGATGTTAGGGTGACCATATTTCCATTTCCAAAAAAGAGGACAGGGGATCTGTGCCTATGACGTCACACTATGGCAACGTCACACAAACCACGTTGGGACCCATTTTTTGTAAGAACTACAATTAATATCAGATTATGCCAATAAAATGGCTCTAAAACAATTCATATTTAAATATTTTGCATATTTCTTGCAAAATCTGATTTTTCTGCTTTAATGCTGCAACAAGGTTTTATTAGCAAAAAAATTATGATACCTGTAACATGATGAAGGAGCTATTCCTCAAGGTTATTTATCCTTTATCCACAGTTGCCTTTGACACAGCCCCAAAGTGCATGAAACAGCCTCAAGGTCATGCATTCAATTCTAAACTGTTTACTTTCCAGCAATGAAGACAGAAGATGAAGAAACTCTTTTCTTTTATTAAATCAAATAACTCTATTTTCAATAAAGCTAATCAAAATGACTGTTAGTCAATAATACAATGTGACCGATCTGTGAAATCACAATATTATGATTAAAATGTTTTAATAAGTAATATGACTTAATCTAGTTCACTAGACACACTGACACTCGTTAAGGTAAACAGCTGCATGATACATCGCTGTTGCTGATCCAATCAGAACCTTCCTAGTCTGAAGCGTGGCAAAGTCTCTGTGGCGTTTATAATTCTGTCAGCTTTGATTCGTCCAGAATCAAAAACATCCAGATTAATAAAACAGTTCCAGCGCCATCTTAAGTTCAGTTCTCAAGATCCCATTTAAGTTCACCGCATGCTAAGGGAAGTTTTGGACCGGCCATCTGTACTTCTCTTTTTAAGCTGAAAACCATCAAGCTGGGAAAATTCTGTTGTTTGTTACCAACCAAGCAACGGTACCTTTCATAATAAAAGCTGAACTCGCTGACCCAAGGAGGGTCCCCTTTTTGACGCTGTGAACCACCTGTCGCTTTTTACCTGGAGACAATCCAAGGACTAGTTTGTTGTGCTGTGACGCTGTACCATTGGCTCCAGTACCGGAAGGAAGGTCAGAGGACCTGGCGTTCTGGATCCATCATTGGAGGTCTCACTGAGGGTATGTGGATGTGACAAAAATGTCGTCTCATGTGTTTATGACTACCACTCTCAAACTCTAATAAGTTAGGAGCAAAACATCATCTCCCACCCAGACTTTGTTTCTCCGGATACGAGGGTGCTGAATAACACTCATTCACACACACCATCCATCTCACACCTCATTCAAACAGAACATCCATCATTAGAGAGTTAGTCTTGTTTAAACTGTTTAAAATTATTTAGTGATAAACTATCTTAAACGTTTGAAGGTCTCTCTCTCTCTTCTCTTGTCTCCCAGTTAATACAAAGTGTCATCTAAATCCCTGCAATAAAAGGACCCAATCTTCTGATTAAATAAACCAGTGTCCGCAAGATGGATTCCATACTACTAGTATGGAAGAGCCTAGACTTGCCGACCGTGTATGTCAATGGCAGTTCTTTTTGAGACGGTGCTGTGCCTAGGTCAGACGTGGGTGTTGTCTGGTTGAACACCGACCAGAAGGACTCCCGATGTTACTGGTTGGTAGGGGTTGTATGAACTAGTCGACTAGTCGACTTCACGGCTCTGTAGTGACTTTTTATGCCTGTCAGCAACTAGTCGCTGTCACGTGACAATGACTGACAAGATGCAGTCCTCCAGCAGGTGATGAGCACCTGCGTCGGGAGGCGGAGGCGACGCGCTGTGCCAGAGCGTCAATACCGGTGGTAAAACGGGCATTTAACCAAACTGTGAGCTTTTCCTTCTTGCAATTTTACCTTCCCCTCAACCCCATCCTAATCTTAACCAATATGCGCATACAAAGCTCTGATCGTTGATGCGCTCCAGGCATCTGCATCCTGAGCACCGCCAAATCAGGTGTCACCACCTCAAAAACAAATTAAACACGCGATCGTTCATGTCAGCTCATTTCCTTTCATTTTTTCTGTCTGTTATTTGTGCCTGATGCGTTTCGCTGCTGTGGAGCGAGGCGGCGCATCACCTGTTTTGTTCTCCGGTGACGCACCCCCAAGATTCCACTATCTCCACTCCGCTCCGCTCCGGCATGAACTCCGCAGCAAAAACGGTCCCGTTGTAGTCGGCCGGCGAACACTCCGCTGTTTTTGTGGTCGGTAGATCTTTTAGAACTGCAGTTCAAAGGTAACTCATAAGGTGAATATATATGAACCCAGGTAGCAGTTTTTCTTTAGGATTGAGAGGAGATGCAGGAAGATTATAAACAGACAGGACAGAAAAATAGTCAATTAAAAACAAGTTTACTTTTGTACCTGGTGGTTGCAACAAACAAACACCATTGAAGGTAATCAGAAGCAAGGAACAGAAAATGAAATAATTATTTTAATGTTTAGAGCAGCAGGAACTCCGAGAGGCTGCAGGCGCATCAGTTTGCTGCTGCTGCGCAGGGGAGGGGGGAGAGGACTGAAGTAGGATGCAGAAACTACCGTTGTTAAAAGAGATGTGTTAACTTAGAAAATGTGGGTGCAATTTTAATTATGAAAAACTCCAGCGAACCTACCGAACCCCCCCCCCCCCCCACACCCGGCCGCTTCAGGTGTATGACGTCATCAACGACTAGTCGAAGTCGACTCGATTTTCATTACTTGACTGTCGACCTTAAAAAAAATTAAGTCATGCAACCCCTACTGGTTGGGTCCTAAGACCTCACAGTTTGCAGAAGTGGATGGGATCTTGATAGTAACACAACTTGCTGTGGACCGTGGTGTCCGTTAACTGGTGATTTGCACTGACTTGGACTATGCACGTCTCAGTTTCATTTGTCATCTACCTTCTTGGAAGAGTAACAGGTTTCTAACCTCTAACGGGAAGCCTCTTCATGGCTTGTGACGACCAAGCGACGTCACATGACATACAAATCTATTGGCGTAAAGTCAAAGGACATTCTCGTGCACCCGGAACTGACAAGGATCTGAATGGCCTTGCAGACTCTCTTGCCAAACTAGGTGCGGCCGATGGTACTCCATGCGTCTTCAACCCCTTGTGGCTTCCTGAGGATGTGTCTTCTCGGTCTGACCCACCCCGTGTGTGTGTGTCTTGACTCGAGCTCAGGCTGCTAACGCTTCCACCTCCAAACC